TTTTTGTAACAAACTTCGAGACAAGAAGGCTAATCTGATGGAGTCGCTCACATTTCTGAAGAGATGCCGTGACACTACGGTAATACCGATCGCCTTTACACTGCCAGCTGTCAATTCTCCCAATGCTAAACGGATCTTATTCAGGGCTGGCCTCGCCCTGATCTCAGAGAGAATAAGATTGCTCCGATTTGAACTAGACAATTTAGACAAGACTCTCATGAAATAACACTTAACATTGACGAAAAAAATGTCTACATCTGATTGGGAACATGTAGATAACATGACACCCTCTTCAGCCTCCTCAATGTCAGCTAAATGCAAAGATAACCTGATTTCCCAGTTCAACCTTCTTTCCAAGAAGAAGCCAGATCCACACGTCAAAAAGTTAGACGTTGACAAGATTGTTATCAATCACAGTAAGAGCCCAATTTCAGACAGCCTAAACTCGGTTCTAGCCAAAAGGATTGAATTTCGCAGTAACCCCTAAACACATCCCAGTTGATGATATCATTGCCCAGGTCGACGTAGCCCTTAAGGGTTTGTGACACATTACTGCAGATGTAGCAAGATCTGAAATTGCTACAATCCTCAAAAACGCTAAGACACCTATTAGCAACATCAGTAAAGATGAGCGCTTTGAGCTTTTTCAATTAAAAAAGAGATGCCATTGTCATCCTCTCAGCCGACAAGGGCAACGCCACAGTTATTATGGGCAAACCCAGATACAATAACAAAATTCAGGACCTACTTAATGATAGTAGCTATACCAAAATTAAAAGAGATCCCACCAACCGCTTCGTTATGAAAACCAACAATATCATCACTGATTCGACATCTTTGATCGAACCAACCAAGCGGTTTTCTTTAAAACCCTCTGCTGCTAGACCACGCAGATTGTATGGCTTGCCAAAAATCTATAAAGAAGGGGCACCCCTTCGTCCTATCGTCTCCAACATTGACTAACCCACCTACAAACTGGCCCGATTTCTGAGACCTTACAACCATTCACTGGTAAGACCATCTCAGCTGTACTCAACTCAGCTCACTTGGTATCGTTAATTAAGGACATCTCACTATCTCCAGGTGATTTACTGGTTAGTTTCGATGTAGTCTCTTTGTTTATCAAAGTTCCTGTGCTTGACACCATTGCAATCATTGAAGATTTGGTCCAACAAGGACTGAATGCTGATGTACCGGCCCTGGCGAGACACTGTCTCACCAACACTTACTTCACCTGGAATGGAACATTCTACAAACAAGTTGAAGGTGCTCCAGTTGTAGCCAATGTTTTCATGGAAAAATGTGATACAGATGCCATCCAGGCATCCACTCTACGTTTGTCCTTGTGAAAGAGGTACGTAGATGACACGTTCGTCATCTGGCCACATGACCGACCAGCTCTGAACCAATTCCTCAACCATATCAATTACATACACCCAGCCATCAAATTCACCATGGAGGTGGAAAAGGATTGCAAGTTACCATTCTTGGATGTTTAAATCGAAAAGAGACCAGATGGCTCAATGGGACACTCTGTCTACAGGAAAGCCACCCATACGGATGCCTACTGAAAACCTGACTCCCACCACCATCCATCCCAGAAGAATTCCCTCATAAAAACTCTACACCATGGAGCTCGATGTATTTCTGACCGTCATCACCTAGCCAGTAAACTGGAATACGTACACCAATCTCTCAAGATGAATGGATATTTAGACTACACAATCCGTAAAGCTATCACCCCAACCGTTGGGAAATAACTATCTGAGGACCCAATCAAAACCATCACCTTGCCATGCATAGCAGGGGCACTAAAATATTTCCAAAATCATGAACAAACACAAGATCCAGGTTCGATTTAACACAGTACATACAATTCGTGATCTGATCCCATCTGTGAAGGATGTGTCTGTCGCAGTAGTAACATTGGGGAAACTAAGTGACATGTCTCGGACCGTGTTCGTGAACATAAGGCAGATCTGAAACACGGTAGGACCAATACCTCGGCCGTGGCTGATCACTGTTTTAATGCAGTGGGCTCACACGAAATTTATTTATCTAAGACGAAGGTACTTTGCAAGCCCACTGGCTATCAACAAATTCGTTCATGAAGCCATCCATATATATAGACACAGACACAATTTCAACAGAGAAGATGGGTACAAACTGAACAATCATTGGAAGGATGATATCAACCAGTTTAAGTCAGAATTGGCCATGATTTTCCCATCCTACCACCTTCCGATGTTAGTTGTGCTTTACGCCCATTTCAAACTTGCGCTTTCACAATCACTTCGCGTGCCGACCCCTTGATTGTGACTCTGCTACCTGCCATTAACATGCTAATCTCTCTTTAATATGCAAATTTTCATCTGGCAGCCCTTTGATTGGTGGAAAACCAACCACCGTCGGATTGGCTGCTCACCACTCACATTTGCATTGGCTGCTGACATTTGAGCTACGTCCATTTCAAACCCTTATAAACAACTTGCCTTGGAAGCTAACCCCCTTTTCCTGAAGACGGCCGCTTGTGTTGCGTTAGAAATGTCTAGTTTTCTCTTATTTTTTGTTATTTTCTTTGAACCTATCTACGTAACTTTACCGAAAGACCCAAGAATATGTATTTGTATTACCGAAAGAACCAAAAATAAGTCTACATTATAGACTGCCAGTACGCTCACTCAGGTTAAGAACCAGGCTACAGTCTACATTATAGACTGCCAGTACATTCACTCAGTTTAATAATTACTGCTACAGTCTACATTATAGACTGCCAATACGCTCACCAAGCTTAAAAATACCAGGCTACAGTCTACATTATCGACTCCCAGTACACTCACCAAGGTTAAGAACCAGGCTACAGTCTACATCATAGACTGCCAGTACACTCACCCAGCTTAATAACAATTGCTACAGTCTACATTATAGACTGCCAGTACACTTACAAAACTTAATTATCAGGCTACAGTCTACATTATAGACTGCCAGTACACTCCGATTAAGAACCAGGCTACAGTCAACATTAGTGGTTTTAATTACATTTATTTTTATTATTATTTTTATTTTTCTATTTACGTGACTTTACCAAAAGAACCAAAGAATATGAATTTCTGCAGTCATGAAAGTTTTAAGTCAAAATAACACTCAAGTCATTATTTTTACATTCAGGTTCCTAAATGTAATTTCTTCACTGACATGGCCGCAATGCGGCCATGCAGCCTTCAAAATTTAACAAAACTAGGGTCGCCTTAATCTAACTCCTGTGGAGGGCGTCTCAGCACTTCGTCCGTCGCCTCCACTGATGCCCTCTTCTCCTCCCTCCATGGGTGCGGATTACTACTGACTGTAATGTATGTTCGGTTGCTCCGAACAGTCACCTCATGTGACTCTTCCCCTGTCACCACGACCATCCCCCCAAGCGTCGGCCACGCACTGTCCTTACATATGTGCAGTGAGTTCAACCGAGTCGCAGAAGTACTCTTTGGAGGCAACACATTTATTGATACCAACACAAAAGGGTAACAGCCCTTTCACCAGATAACAACCTATGGTGGTGGACCCACAGGCTAACTACACTAATTACACTCGGAGTAGCTACAACAGACATGACCCCAGCTTGGGTCCAGGTCCACGTGTTGGTGATTCTTCTCGGACAGAGAACGTAGATCTTCAGGATAACAACGGCTGGACCCGCCCTGAGCCACGACCACCTTCGAGAATCCTTGAGCAGGATCTCGGCCCTGACACGTGACCACTCCTAGCCCCGTGTCCTTTGGTATCAACCAGAGTGCCATGGCCCTTAGTAACCCTATTCCCATGGCCAACACTCTCACACCCGATCCTGTAGGGGTCGGCACTGCACGCAGATCGTGGTGCCACGCAGCACTGCCAGTCAGGGCTCACCGATTCCCTCTATGGCCGGTACTGAACCCACATACACGTGGTGCACGCGATGTCAATACATCGCACGCCGTGCCTCTCAAGAGCGGGCATTACACAGTGACACCCGCGATGTCACTACATATGTATGGTGTGTAGGCACATATGCCTACAAAATAAATATATTTTTGGGTGGGGGTCAACTTTCTATAACTTTTTGATTCAGGCCTTCTGAAAGGCTCATCATTTAGTTGACACCCATGGAACGCCGCACTTTTATAATAGAATGCTGGCGAGCAGCACGCCTATGCTCTGCGAAATACGCCGACTAATTGTTTTTACACTATTTACTTTGGGGTGGAACAAGTGAATTCTTTACAACTGCATCGCTTTAATTCATAATCGTGATTTTGCTTTTGTCAACTTAGTTATGGACCCAAGTGGGCAAATGTACTCCAGGAACGAAGGCGGGGTTGCCATCTCTTAAATATTTAATTGCGTTTCCTGTTAAAAAATTGGGATAGAGCTATACAACCACTGACATTTTACTGTAAGAAATATTGACGTGGTCAAAACCGGTTTTTTGGGTATGACGTTGTTTGAACTTCCTCAATTCAATTCCATACACAGCGAACAAACCATTTCAACATCGTCAGTGGCACTGCTTGAAGGTGTTATTGCCACCATCATCGTCAGGCCTGCCTAATCTGTCCGCTACTGGATGATGTATGACAATTAAGTTGCTCCACAAGAGTAGATAAGTGTGGTCGGGAAAGACGTGTACAACTCAGACGCCGGTAAGACTTTAAAATGTGTACGTTTGTCTGAATTGCTGCACTGGTGTGTTGCGTTCTCTCTGTCCGTGTGTGTACACATTGTGTAACGTGCCCCACCACTTCTTACTACGTAGGGGTTTTTGCCGTTCTGCTGAAAAAATCAGGGAGCTTTCACGTTTGTCAGGTACGCTGCAAGTGAAGTGAATTCACAATATTGGGGTGATTGCGTTTCCTCCGGTATTTTGACGTGCATAAATGTATAACTGAGAATGTTTGACAGATGTATTGTGCGCATGTAAAAATGTCATGTGTTTCGTTTCGTCTTTCTCCCTGCCTGTGTCACAGTTGAGATACCAGTGGAAACATGGTGTGGAATTTTTTACATATAATAACCGTTCTGGCAGCTGTACTGAGTGTCCACGGTGAGCCCTGAATGTTTTCTCCATGGGGAATTTGATACAACGTAAATCTTTGATCAAGCAGTAATTGTCAAAAATGTGTGTTGTTGATGCAAATACTGTACGTTTGAAGTGGACTCTGTCCATTCCAGGAGATGCCTTGTGTATGTTTTTACAAAAGTGAATGACACTTGAAATCATCTACCATATCAGACGTACCAAGAAGCTTACTAATACCAATGCCCATCCATATCTGTATAATTGTTTGAACACGATTGGCAATTAAACACTATCATTAAAGTTTTGTTAGGGGGAAAATCCATCGCGGGGGTTACGTTCTTGAAAATAGCCGCAATTGGCAAATCCACGCTCCGCAAACTCAAAGGCAAAATATAAGCTTTGGCTCACGCTGCGTTATACGACATCCCCTCCTTTTGTTTCATGTTGCCCTAGATTAACCCAAACATGAAACGGGAAGTGTATTTTTTTCATGTAAGTCAGAAAAATCGCCTCCTCACTGGGCTGGCAACAACTTGTGACCTGGGACCCACGATGGGCTGCGTAGGAGATAAGATGGAGACAAGACGGCACGTGTATTCTTCTGTAGCAGCATCATCGCGAGTAGTGTAAAGCTATAGTACCTTTACGATGCATGCTGTACAGAAATCTCGCAGTCATCCTACGAATGGTCGAGCCACAGGGACGCGATTGGCGAACTATACCTCAATAGATTTGGCACGAATGGTCAAATCCGCGATTGGAAAACCCGCAATGGGCGAGGTTTTGGTGTACTTGACATTGTATCTGGAAGCATGAACAATGAAACCTACATTTACTCCTGATGGAAGGGCCACCACTTGCAGTAGCACTAGAGAGCCTACTCTTCCGTGCTAACTAAACCTTTTGGAAGAGGATTACCCACGTTTCCCATCCACACGCAATCTGCCCGATCGACTCAGATGTAGCCAAGTAAACTGCTGGGTGGACAGGCAAAGGTGATTTAAGAACTTTGCCCATTGCTTGAAATTCCGTATCGGAAGATTGAACTGATAACCTCTGGCTGGTATGCAAGTCCAGTGTGCCATTACACCACGGCAGTATCCAGACTGTTTAATCATGTAAATAAGCACTGTACATTTGACAATTTTTTTAAAACAGTCTGCCTTAGCAGCAGACCATGCTTTCCCACCTGATGACGGACGCTTGTGTTGCGCTCGGAACGTCGTGATTTATTTTATTTTATACCTACGTGACTTTACCGAAAGAACCAAAGAGTATGGATTCCTGCAGTCACGAAAGCTTCAAATCAAAAATAATGAACAGGTTACGACCTCCACATGGACCCGCCCCTCATTAATAATCATGAGCGGGTGACGTTACTCCGCATGGAGAAGCCCCTCATTCTAGATTTGAAGCTTTCGTGACTGCAAGGATTCATACTCTTAGTTCTTTCGGTAAAGTCACGTAGGTAAAAAATGAAATCAGATATTTTGCTGTGACAGTTTCACCTGAAGACGGAAGCTTGTGTTGCCTCCGAAACGTCGTGATTTTATTGTTTTTTGTTTTTTATTAATTTTGATTTCATTTTTTACCTACGTGACTTTACCGAAAGAACTAAGAGTATGAACCCCCTCATTAATAATCATGAGCAAGTGACGTCACTGCAAATCGAACAGCCTCATTAATAATCATGAACAGGTGACGTCCTCCAAATGGACGCTCCCCCTCCATTAATACAAAATAGCGGGTGATGTCACTCCACATGGGGGGCAGAACCCTCACGTCACGCGATCTACGTAACGCTATCGAGACATAGAAGTATAAAGGACGTCATGATGAACAAGGGATTATAACCTTTAAATGAAATAAGTCTGTGTCACCGCGAACTTACAAATTGCACACGAATGGATGCAATGATTCACTGCAATACACCCGTCCTTGGACGGGCAAAAGGCTCGATACACTTTAACTGCATATCTTGTACACTTTATATAATACTAGCGGGAAGTACCCGGCGTTGCCCGGGAGAAAAATATATATTTAAAACTTATCTTAAAAACATAACATATCCATACACAAGTACTAAGCTATTGTGAAAGCCCAGCGTTCCGTTTGTATATTTGTCCATCAACAACATTTTAAGAGGCTTGAAGAAGTCCTGAATCCAAAAGTAATAGAAAGTGGCGGGTAAATAGTTGATCTCAAAGGTTTCCTAAAATTGTCGACCTCCCCCCCCCTAAAAAAATATTTTTACCACTCCATAGGCATATATACCTACACACCCTACATACAATAGTGAGTAGAATCTAGCGACTCTATAGTAGTGTAATAAAACACTTCGACGACGGACGTTGACTTGTGTCTTTATTTATATCTGTGTCGACTGAACAGCTCCACGCTCCTTCTTGTATATTAACCATTCCGTTCTTCTCTGCGCGAACCAAAGAGTAATTCCTGCAGTCACGAAAGCTCCAAACCAGGCAACAGTCTACATTAGTGGTTTTATTTAATATTGTTATTTCATTTTTATGATTTTTATTAACTTTATTTGTATTATAATTTTTCCATCTACGTGACTTTACCGAACGAACCAAAGAATATGATTTCCTGCAGTCACGAAAGTTTTAAGTCAAAATCTATAATAGTACAAACTTCACAGAGTGTATTGATGAGGCCTAGTCCCGTGCAGAGCCCCCGGCCTCGCCTAGATTGCCCAGCCAGCCGAGGTGGCACCTTGGCAGGCTGGGCCTCGGCTGCTACCTCCCCACCCACGATTCCCCCCCCCCCCCCCCGCTCTGCAGTAGTATCTACGGCCTACAGTAGTAACATGTACCGCCTATAGTAGCAACTGCACACATTGAGGACATCACACTGTGAATAGTTTACCTCAGCGTTTTGTGTATTTTTATTGCATTTTTGACGCCAATGAGAATTTTTCCACAACTCCACAATTCGCGCGAGTGTGCGTTGCTAGGGGCAACCACGGCTTTGTCACGCATGCGCAAATACGTGCTTTGGCGCGCGCTGAGCGGCGTAATGAAATAATAAATGTAACTAAATTGTAAATTTTAACTATTTTTAAGTTGACGGATGCGAAAATGGAATAGCGCTGGCTCACCACTGGGGTTATGGCGTGGTACCTGGGTACTTTTTAAAATCGTAAACCCCATGGTTTGCGAGCCATATCCTTTGCAAGTTTCGTACACAGACAGACAAAAAATTACGTTTATAGGTAAGATCACGCATTATAGTGTATTCATATTATAACATTACATAGAATTCCACAGTATTTAGTATGGACATTATAATGTATTTACATATTTTGAATACCATTAAAATGTTTTAATACTTTTCTTGTATTATCTGGTTCGGTGTGGCTATATACAAAATCCGGCGAGCTGGAGTTCAGCTAGCCAGGGTTTTGCTCCACGTTGTAAAATCCTAGCACTGCATTTGATCTTGTTATACCGTAACCCTAAGTACTTTTGACTTCTGTTAACTTTGATCGTGCCTTTTTGACATGTGCTTCTAGTTGCCGTCTGAACCTTGGAAACCATTACGAACTTCGATGTCTTATTTGCAAACCCTTTTTTTCACTCAGATTCCCAATTCGCTTGATCCGTGCCCTGGAAACTAGTGATCTTCACAGGTCCACTGTCCAAGACAGTCACCCAATACTTGTATAACTGTTTCTGTGTTTTATTTAGACAGAATTACATTATCGTAAATTATGAGTTGAGGGTGAGAACAGTTTTCTAGAAGACAAGCCACGACTGGATTAAATCTCCTGTGCATCAGTGGCTGTCTGTCTGAGCTAGTGAACTCGTTTTATAGGAAATTTGGTTCGGGCCTTTTTGGAATGTCTCGCCATCCAGAAGTGAAAACCCAGACCGACACTCACACTTAACTGCAGTCCTGTTCAACTGTTTAAATGACTGCAGCCAATAACATGTTTCGAAATGGTGGGACATGGAACATAGTTACAGTAGCTGAATATGCATTAACGATCACCTGCTCTTGTTTAACAGGACAGACAACCCCAACACCATTGCCAACACAGCTGCCAGTGACACTACAGACAACACCGTTGACTATTGGTAAGACACGCAGTGCTTCAAACTTTCTACCAGATAAATTTTGCCAGGAAGGATGAAAGCCTGTTTTTTTTCATCTTTCAACATGCCTAATGTAATACTAAAAGGATCAAAAACTAAAAGGATGTGAATATATGGGAGTTGTTTGGATGAACTTTATGTTTGTAATGGAGAAGTGGACTACAGGTAACTTGATCAACGAAATATGATGAATCAAGCATAAAAGAAGATTCCATATGTATAACATTTCACTTAATTCTTAACTTAAAGCTTTCGTGACTGCAGGAATTCATATTCTTTGGGTCTTTTGGTGAAGTCACATAGATGAGTTCAAAGAAAACAAAAAATAACAAAAAACTACGACGTTTCGATCGCAACCCAAACATTCGTCATCAGGAAGAGGGGGTTAGCTTCTAAAGGTATAAATGTTTGAAATGGGTTAGCTTCTAAAGGTAAACTGTTTATAAAGGTTTGAAATGGGCGAACCCTGTCTTCCTGATGACGAATGCTTGTGTTGCGATCGAAACGTACTTTTTTGTTATTTTTTGTTATTTTCTTTGAACCTGTCTACGTGACTTTACCGAAAGACCCAAAGAATATTTCACCTAATCTTTTTCACTTTGTAAAATAATGACATAATTTATTGTGTTTTATTAGTGTGTGTAGGAAGTGAATTCCAATGTGCTGATAATAAGGACTGCATCCCTGGACGTCTTTACTGTGATGGGGAGCCCGACTGTACAGACCAGAGCGATGAGACTGCAAACTGCCAATGCCGCTCAGACCAAATCCGTTGTAGCAATGGAACCTGCCTTGGGATAGTGTTCGTGTGTGATGGAGTCAACGACTGTGGAGACTATTCAGACGAAAACAACTGCAGTGAGTTAAAACATGGGATGTATACTTTAAATTACGAATGCCATATCTCAATGTAAAATCTGTATCATTTATAGAAGGATATTAATTGACAATTGTTTTTTCAGCTTGCACACCGAATCAGTACAAATGCAATAACAGCAACACCGAATGTTTGGACCCGCTCTACGTCTGCGATGGAGAAACTGACTGTAGCGATGGATCTGATGAAAGTGACTGTGAGAAAGGTTTGTTTAACAAAAAATATGAAATCAATTACCTGCTTACGAATAACTTTCAAATAGTTTTTTTTCCTCTATGCAACGTGGAATCAGTTCAGCATAAAATTGAACATCAATCCATGATGTGAAAGTATACAACTTGATCTCACTTCATCTTTTTTATAATGTATATCCTACCAGAGTGTTCCAGCAGTGAGTTCCGCTGTGCCGATAAGAAGCATTGCATCCCTGGACGTCTTTACTGTGATGGGGAGCCCGACTGTGCAGACCAGAGCGATGAGACTCCAAACTGCCAATGCCGCTCAGACCAAATGCGTTGTGATAATGGAACCTGCCTTGGAATAGCGTTCGTGTGTGATGGAGTCAACGACTGTGGAGACTATTCAGATGAAAGCAACTGCAGTGAGTAAATCATAATGAAAACTATACTTTCGCATTTTGAATGTTCTATATTTATGAATAGAAAATTTGTATCATTCCTACGAAGTCATTATTTTATGTATTTTTTTCAGCTTGCACTCAAAGCAAATACAAATGCAATAACAGCAACATCGAATGTCTGGACTGGCTCTACGTTTGTGATGGAGAAACTGACTGCAGCGATGGATCTGATGAAAGTGACTGTGAAAGAGGTTTGTTTAAAAATATACGATCATAAAATTAACTACCTGCCCAAGGATAACTCGCAGATGGTTGTGTTATATCTACGTATTTGGGAAATTTGCATACCACGATGTAACTGGAAATGGTGTGAGAACACATTTTGAACCATTAAATAGATGTCAAAGTGTAATCTTTACCCAAAACACATTGTTTATCTATGTCATACCAGAATGTTCAGAAAGTGAGTTCCGATGTGCCGATAAGAAGCACTGCATCCCTGGACGTCTTTACTGTGATGGGGAGCCCGACTGTGCAGACCAGAGTGATGAGACTCCAAACTGCCAATGCCGCTCAGACCAAATCCGTTGTGGCAATGGAACCTGCCTTGGAATAGTGTTTGTGTGTGATGGAGTCAACGACTGTGGAGACTATTCAGACGAAGACAACTGCAGTGAGTTAAAACATGGGATGTATACTTTAAATTACGAATGCCATATCTCAATGTAAAATCTGTATCATTTATAGAAGGATATTAATTGACAATTGTTTTTTCAGCTTGCACACCGAATCAGTACAAATGCAATGACAGCAACACCGAATGTTTGGACCCGCTCTACGTCTGCGATGGAGAAACTGACTGTAGCGATGGATCTGATGAAAGTGACTGTGAGAAAGGTTTGTTTAACAAAAAATATGAAATCAATTACCTGCTTACGAATAACTTTCAAATAGTTTTTTTTCCTCTATGCAACGTGGAATCAGTTCAGCATAAAATTGAACATCAATCCATGATGTGAAAGTATACAACTTGATCTCACTTCATCTTTTTTATAATGTATATCCTACCAGAGTGTTCCAGCAGTGAGTTCCGCTGTGCCGATAAGAAGCATTGCATCCCTGGACGTCTTTACTGTGATGGGGAGCCCGACTGTGCAGACCAGAGCGATGAGACTCCAAACTGCCAATGCCGCTCAGACCAAATGCGTTGTGATAATGGAACCTGCCTTGGAATAGCGTTCGTGTGTGATGGAGTCAACGACTGTGGAGACTATTCAGATGAAAGCAACTGCAGTGAGTAAATCATAATGAAAACTATACTTTCGCATTTTGAATGTTCTATATTTATGAATAGAAAATTTGTATCATTCCTACGAAGTCATTATTTTATGTATTTTTTTCAGCTTGCACTCAAAGCAAATACAAATGCAATAACAGCAACATCGAATGTCTGGACTGGCTCTACGTTTGTGATGGAGAAACTGACTGCAGCGATGGATCTGATGAAAGTGACTGTGAAAGAGGTTTGTTTAAAAATATACGATCATAAAATTAACTACCTGCCCAAGGATAACTCGCAGATGGTTGTGTTATATCTACGTATTTGGGAAATTTGCATACCACGATGTAACTGGAAATGGTGTGAGAACACATTTTGAACCATTAAATAGATGTCAAAGTGTAATCTTTACCCAAAACACATTGTTTATCTATGTCATACCAGAATGTTCAGAAAGTGAGTTCCGATGTGCCGATAAGAAGCACTGCATCCCTGGACGTCTTTACTGTGATGGGGAGCCCGACTGTGCAGACCAGAGTGATGAGACTCCAAACTGCCAATGCCGCTCAGACCAAATCCGTTGTGGCAATGGAACCTGCCTTGGAATAGTGTTTGTGTGTGATGGAGTCAACGACTGTGGAGACTATTCAGACGAAGACAACTGCAGTGAGTTAAAACATGGGATGTATACTTTAAATTACGAATGCCATATCTCAATGTAAAATCTGTATCATTTATAGAAGGATATTAATTGACAATTGTTTTTTCAGCTTGCACACCGAATCAGTACAAATGCAATGACAGCAACACCGAATGTTTGGACCCGCTCTACGTCTGCGATGGAGAAACTGACTGTAGCGATGGATCTGATGAAAGTGACTGTGAGAAAGGTTTGTTTAACAAAAAACATGAAATCAATTACCTGCTTACGAATAACTTTCAAATAGTTTTTTTTTCCTCTATGCAACGTGGAATCAGTTCAGCATAAAATTGAACATCAATCCATGATGTGAAAGTATACAACTTGATCTCACTTCATCTTTTTTATAATGTATATCCTACCAGAGTGTTCCAGCAGTGAGTTCCGCTGTGCCGATAAAAAGCATTGCATCCCTGGACGTCTTTACTGTGATGGGGAGCCCGACTGTGCAGACCAGAGTGATGAGACTCCAAACTGCCAATGCCGCTCAGACCAAATCCGTTGTGGCAATGGAACCTGCCTTGGAATAGTGTTCGTGTGTGATGGAGTCAACGACTGTGGAGACTATTCAGATGAAAGCAACTGCAGTGAGTTAATCATCATGTAAACTATACTTTAGCGTTTTGAATGTCATATATTGATGAATAGCGGTAAGTACCCGGCGTTGCCCAGGCGAAAAAGGCAGACACACACATGGACTTACACACAGACATCTACCCACACACATAGAAACACATCGACTTACACGCACACGCACATATGGACTCACACACACAGACATCGACTTTAGACACACAGATATGTAGTTACACACACAAATGGACTCACACACACGTAGACTTATATATATCGACTCACACATACATAGACTCAACAACAACCGCCATTCACCACTAAATGGCGGTGACGTAACCACAACGCTTGTGGCAGGCTATGTGCACCTTGAGGCCACGTGAAGTGTCGAACGCCTGCCCGCTGGCAGGAGGTCACGGGGCAGAGCCAGATGGCACAGGTCGACTGATTGAGACGACTGGCTGATGCAGCACCTGTGCCCCCTACTGTGCCAACTTGCTGTACATTATCCACCCGGCGCTCCGCTCGTTGTTGTGAGCGTCGCATGGAGTGTCCGATGGTACATAGACTCACACACACATTGACCTACACAAACACACATGGACTTACAAAGACACACATATCGACTAAGACACACACATATGGACTTACAAAGACACATATCGACTAAGACACACACATAGGGACTTATACACATACATGGACCCACGCACACACATCGACTTACAGACATATCGACTCACACACACATACATAGACTGACACACACACATATGAACTTACGCACACATATCGACGCGCACACACATGGACTCTCACACACATACACACATTGCTTTACACACATGGACTGACACACATAGACTCCCACACGAATATACATGTACTCACACACGCACATAGAGGCACACACACATGGACTGACACACACATGGACTTACACACACATACACACATGTACGTACAGACACGCACACATGGACTCACACTGCACACGTGGACCAAAACACAGAAAGAAATGGACTTACACTGACTCACATGGAGCAATGCACACACAGCGACTAATACACACGCACATCGACTGACACAAACACACAGACATATCGACTCACACACATACGGACACATCGACTTACACACACATCGCCGCAGATATGCACATCGACCCACACGCACACATGGACTTACACGCAGGCATTATTATTGTGAAAAGAAGTAACTGAATAAAAAAAAGTAGTTGTCTACACACGCACATCACGCACACACATTGACTAACACACACATGGACTTACGCACACACACACACATCGACGGTATGCACTATCACTACAGCAGTGCATACTGTGGTGGTGGTACCTTCTTTCCCTACAGCAGTGCATGCATACTGTGGTGTAAGCTGCTATGATTAGAGCGGGGCAAGCAACAGTGGTGGTATCTGCTATGATGACAGCAGTGTATAGTGACTGTGGTGGTACCTGCTAGCACTATAGTAGTACATGCTAACTGTATAGCAGTATATATGGAATGTATAGCACAAAGTAGTAAGCAGACAGTGCCGTGGTGAGGCGTAGTCTCGTGCAGAGCCCTCAGGCTCGCCTAGATTTCCCAGCCCGCCGAGGTGTTACCTTGGAAGGCTGGGGGCTGGGCCGGTCCCCCCGGCAACGCGACAATAATGTGATGTAAGCGCTATAATCGTGATATGTAGGAGCTGTATAGTAGTTTCAGGACGCATTGGGGTATAATTGGGGTTTGGTGGGGAGAAGAGGACATCGCACAGTGAAGAATGTACGTGTGTCTGGTGTGTTTTAGCTGCATGTGTAAGGCGAAGGAAAATTTGTGGCGATCGTGTGTGCGTTGCTAGGGGCAAGCCATGTGGGCAGAGCAAAGTGTAATGAGATAAATATTTATAAGACAAATTAGTGGGACTTACGTCTTATCTAAAAGCATATAATACAAAAGTGTGCGACTTTCCTTGGGCGATGGCGCGTGTTGATTGCTGCTGGGGGTCACCTCGTGGGCGCTGTAAGTGCAGCTGGCTGCGTTGTGACCCAGTGCGTGGCGAAGGGAAATAAATAAATAATAGGCAAACTTTCAAGTGTTATAAATATCTAAAAAAAAACGCTAAACTAATTGAAAGGTGACAGACGTGAAAAGGGAATTGCCTATTCCCACCTCGGGGCTTAGGGCGTGCTGGCAGGCAATTTTTTTTGGTCGTAAAGGGCACTGTTCGAGAGGCAAATCCCTCGCCAGAGCACGGGCGTGCGGAGACTTTAATAGATAAGAGAAGAGACTGTAGGGGGCAGGTGCTGTTAGCGAGTACCTATGAAGGCCGGCACGGCACACGAGGGGGTTGGTGGCCAGCACCACGCCCGGCCGCCTTTGTCTCCCCGGTGGCGATGTTCACACCACACCAGTTCATTGTTTGAGGCTGAGTCGACGTATGGGAGGCCCAGGACCGGTTAAAATTATCCTCACCGGTGGTGGCTGTGAGCGGGAATCGAACTCGGGTGGCCGGGTTCGTAGCGCAGCGTAGCGCTAACCACTCCACCACAATGCGTTACGCTTCCACATGCGCGGGTCACGTGACAGATTTGACGTCACAGCTCACTTGCCGTGCAAAAAATATATGCATTATTGAGCTCCCCCCCCCCCACCCTAAAAAAAAGTGTATTTTTATAATTTTTGCATGGTGTACAGTCTGGAAAGTACCCACATGGCAAATTTCCAGTTTGTTGCATGTCGGGAAGTACGCTAAACATTTTGAACAGACACACGTATTCACAAATTTGGCTTTTATATATATGGAGATTAGAAAAACTGTGTCATTCCTACGATTTTTTGTTTTTTCTCCAGCGTGCACTCCAAGCAAGTACAAATGCAATAACAGCAACACCGAATGTTTGGACCGACTCTATGTCTGTGATGGAGAAACTGACTGTAGCGATGGATCTGATGAAAGTGACTGTGAGAAAGGTTTGTTTAAAAAAAACATGAAATCAATTACCTGCTTGCGAATAACTTTTAAAAAATCCCCCCTTATGCAACGTGGAATCAGTTAAGGATAAAATTAAACATCAATCCATGATGTGAAAGTGTATAATTTGATCTCACTTCATCTTTTTTATAATGTATATCCTACCAGAGTGTTCCAGCAGTGAGTTCCGCTGTGCTGATAAGAAGCATTGCATCCCTGGACGTCTTTACTGTGATGGGGAGTCCGACTGTGCAGACCAGAGCGATGAGACTCCAAACTGCCAATGCCGCTCAGACCAAATGCGTTGTAATAATGGAAGCTGCCTTGGAATAGCGTTCGTGTGTGATGGAATCAACGACTGTGGAGACTATTCAGATGAAAGCAACTGCAGTGAGTAAATCATAATGGAAACTATACTTTAGCATTTTGAATGTTCTATATTGATGAATAGAAAATGTGTATCATTCCTACGAAGTCATTAATTTATGTATTTTCTCCAGCTTGCACTCCAAGAAAGTACAAATGCAATAACAGCAACACCGAATGTTTGGACTGGCTCTACGTTTGTGATGGAGAAACTGACTGCAGCGATGGATCTGATGAAAGTGACTGTGAAAGAGGTTTGTTTAAAAATATACGATCATAAAATTAACTACCTGCCCAAGGATAACTCGCAGATGGTTGTGTTATATCTACGTATTTGGGAAATTTGCATACCACGATGTAACTAGAAATGGTGTTAGAACACATTTTGAACCAATAAATGAATGTCAAAGTGTAATATTTACCCAAAACACATTGTTTATCCATGTCATACCAGAATGTTCAGAAAGTGAGTTCCGCTGTGCCGATAAGAAGCACTGCATCCCTGGACGTCTTTACTGTGATGGGGAGCCCGACTGTGCAGACCAGAGTGATGAGACGCCAAACTGCCAATGCCGCTCAGACCAAATTCTTTGTGGAAATGGAAGCTGCCTTGGAATAGTGTTCGTGTGTGATGGAGTCAACGACTGTGGAGACTATTCAGATGAAAGCAACTGCAGTGAGTTAATCATCATGTAAACTATACTTTAGCATTTTGAATGTCATATATTGATGATTAGAAAAACTGTGTCATTCCTACGAAGACGTTAATTTATGTATTGTTTTTCAGCTTGCACTCCAAGCAAGTACAAATGCAATAACAGCAACACCGAATGTTTGGACCGACTCTATGTCTGTGATGGAGAAACTGACTGTAGTGATGGATCTGATGAAAGTGACTGTGAGAAAGGTTTGTTTAACAAAAAACATGAAATCAATTAGCTGCTTGCGAATAACTTTTAAATAGTTGTTTTACCCCTATGCAACGTGGAATCAGTTAAGGATAAAATTAAACATCAATCCACGATGTGAAAGTATACTGTTTGATCTCACTTAATCTTTTTTATAATGTATATCCTACCAGAGTGTTCCAGCAGTGAGTTCCGCTGTGCCAATAAGAAGCATTGCATCCCTGGACGTCTTTACTGTGATGGGGAGCCGGACTGTGCAGACCAGAGCGATGAGACTCCAAACTGCCAATGCCGCTCAGACCAAATCCGTTGTGGCAATGGAAGCTGTCTTGGAATACCATTCGTGTGTGATGGAGTCAACGACTGTGGAGACTATTCAGATGAAAGCAACTGCAGTGAGTAAATCATAATGGAAACTATACTTTCGCATTTTTAATGTTATATATTAGTAGTGAGTCCAACTGAATCGCATACGTTGTCTTGGGGGGAGCAACACGTTTTATTAAACTCTTAGCACAACATACTCCAAGATATTAACACAACATACTCTCGGGTGGTGACCACCAAACTAACCACACTACGGCAAAACTAGACACGGTTCCACTATCCCGGTCCGGACCACAAGCTGGGTCCCGGACTGCGTGAATGGAGGCTTCTTCAAGCTTGACGTGGATCTCCTGCCTCTCCAACAGTAAGAACCCCGAGCCCCTCTGAGGGCCCCCCTTATATCGGGCCAGGCTGGGGCTGGCTCCTCCTCTCGCCCCGCCCACCTTCTCGATCTCTCTCGCTCTTGCCCGAAGGCTCTCGAGAGTTCTTCTTGGACCATGTGACCACCCATTGGCCCCCTCCATCGGTGGCCCCACTCCAGTATCATCCGGTCACATGTCCCCAGGTCAGCCAGAGTATCATGCTCCCAATGTAACCCTAGCTGGCTGACACTCTCTCGCTTTCTCAACCGCGCTTAACCAGCACTCACCCAAGCCCCCACTAGGGCTGGTACTACACCCTGTGTCCGGGGTGTACACACAACAGTATACATCCCGCCGTGGCCTCGCAAGCCCGGCACCACACAGTGACATTCCCAGTCACTAAATATTGATGAATAGAACATTTGTGTCATTCCTACTTAGTAAATAATTTCTGTCTTTTTTTCAGCTTGTACTCCAAGCAAGTACAAATGCAATAACAGCAACACCGAATGTTTGGATTGGCTCTACGTTTGTGATGGAGAAACTGACTGTAGTGATGGATCTGATGAAAGTGACTGTGAGAAAGGTTTGTTTAACAAACAACATGAAATCAATTACCTGCTTGCGATTAACTTTAAAATTGTTGTTTTTTCCCCTATGCAACGTAGAATCAGTTAAGGATAAAATTATACATCAATCCATAATGTGAACGTATACAATTTGATCTCACTTCATCTTTTTTATAATGTATATCCTACCAGAGTGTTCCAGCAGTGAGTTCCGCTGTACCGATAAGAAGAATTGCATCCCTGGACGTCTTTACTGTGATGGGGAGCCCGACTGTGCAGACCAGAGCGATGAGACTCCAAACTGCCAATGCCGCTCAGACCAAATGCGTTGCGGTAATGCGAGCTGCCTTGGAATAGTGTTCGTGTGTGATGGAGTCAACGACTGTGGAGACTATTCAGATGAAAGCAACTGCAGTGAGTAAATCATAATGGAAACTATACTTTCACATTTTTATGTTATATATTAGTAGTGAGTCCAACTGAGTCGCATACGTTGTCTTGGGGGGAGCAACACCTTTTATTAAACTCTTAGCACAACATACTCCAAGATATTAACACAACATACTCTCGGGTGGTGACCACCAAACTAACCACACTATAGCAAAACTAGACACGGTTCCACTATCCCGGTCTGGACCACAAGCTGGGTCCTGGACCGCGTGAATGGAGGCTTCTTCAAGCTTGACGTGGATCTCCTGCCTCTCCAACAGTAAGAACCCCGAGCCCCTCTCAGGGCCCCCCTTATATCGGGCCAGGCTGGGGCTGGCTCCTCCTCTCGCCCCGCCCACCTTCTCGATCTCTCTCGCTCTTGCCCGAAGGCTCTCGAGAGTTCTTCTTGGACCATGTGACCACCCATTGGCCCCCTCCACCGGTGGCCCCACTCCAGTATCATCCGGTCACATGTCACCAGGTCAGCCAGAGTATCATGCTCCCAATGTAACCCTAGCTGGCTGACACTCTTTCGCTTTCTCAACCGCGTTTAACCAGCACTCACCCAAGCCCCCACTAGGGCTGGTACTACACCCCGTGTCCGGGGTGTACACACAACAGTATACATCCTGCCGTGGCCTCGCAAGCCCGGCACCACACAGTGACATTCCCAGTCACTAAATATTGATGAATAGAACATTTGTGTCATTCCTACGAAGTCATTAATTTCTGTTTTTTTTCAGCTTGCACTCCAAGCAAGTACAAATGCAATAACTGCAACACCGAATGTTTGGATTGGCTCTACGTTTGTGATGGAGAAACTGACTGTAGTGATGGATCTGATGAAAGTGACTGTGAGAAAGGTTTGTTTAACAAACAACATGAAATCAATTACCTGCTTGCGATTAACTTTGAAATTGTTGTTTTTTCCCCTATGCAACGTAGAATCAGTTGAGGATAAAATTATACATCAATCCATAATGTGAACGTATACAATTTGATCTCACTTCATCTTTTTTATAATGTATATCCTACCAGAGTGTTCCAGCAGTGAGTTCCGCTGTGCCGATAAGAAGCATTGCATCCCTGGACGTCTTTACTGTGATGGGGAGCCGGACTGTGCAGACCAGAGCGATGAGACTCCAAACTGCCAATGCCGCTCAGACCAAATCCGTTGTGGCAATGGAAGCTGTCTTGGAATAGCATTCGTGTGTGATGGAGTCAACGACTGTGGAGACTATTCAGATGAAAGCAACTGCAGTGAGTAAATCATAATGGAAACTATACTTTCACATTTTTAATGTTATATATTAGTAGCGACTCCAACTGAGTCGCATACGTTGTCTTGGGGGGAACAACACGTTTTATTAAACTCTTAGCACAACATACTCCAAGATATTAACACAACATACTCTCGGGTGGTGACCACCAAACTAACCACACTATAGCAAAACTAGACACGGTTCCACTATCCCGGTCTGGACCACAAGCTGGGTCCCGGACCGCGTGAATGGAGGCTTCTTCAAGCTTGACGTGGATCTCCTGCCTCTCCAACAGTAAGAACCCCGAGCCCCTCTCAGGGCCCCCCTTATATCGGGCCAGGCTGGGGCTGGCTCCTCCTCTCGCCCCGCCCACCTTCTCGATCTCTCTCGCTCTTGCCCAAAGGCTCTCGAGAGTTCTTCTTGGACCATGTGACCACCCATTGGCCCCCTCCACCGGTGGCCCCACTCCAGTATCATCCGGTCACATGTCCCCAGGTCAGCCAGAGTATCATGCTCCCAATGTAACCCTAGCTGGCTGACACTCTCTCGCTTTCTCAACCGTGTTTAACCAGCACTCACCCAAGCCCCCACTAGGGCTGGTACTACACCCCGTGTCTGGGGTGTACACACAACAGTATACATCCCGCCGTGGCCTCGCAAGCCCGGCACCACACAGTGACATTCCCAGTCACTAAATATTGATGAATAGAACATTTGTGTCATTCCTACGAAGTAATTAATTTCTGTTTTTTTTTCAGCTTGCACTCCAAGCAAGTACAAATGCAATAACAGCAACACCGAATGTCTGGATTGGCTCTACGTTTGTGATGGAGAAACTGACTGTAGTGATGGATCTGATGAAAGTGACTGTGAGAAAGGTTTGTTTAACAAACAACATGAAATCAATTACCTGCTTGCGATTAACTTTAAAATTGTTGTTTTTTCCCCTATGCAACGTAGAATCAGTTAAGGATAAAATTATACATCAATCCATAATGTGAACGTATACAATTTGATCTCACTTCATCTTTTTTATAATGTATATCCTACCAGAGTGTTCCAGCAGTGAGTTCCGCTGTACCGATAAGAAGAATTGCATCCCTGGACGTCTTTACTGTGATGGGGAGCCCGACTGTGCAGACCAGAGCGATGAGACTCCAAACTGCCAATGCCGCTCAGACCAAATGCGTTGTGATAATGGAAGCTGCCTTGGAATAGTGTTCGTGTGTGATGGAGTCAACGACTGTGGAGACTATTCAGATGAAAGCAAGTGCAGTGAGTAAATCATAATGGAAACTATATTTTAGCATTTTTAATGTCATATATTGATGAATAGAAAATTTGTATCATTCCTACCAAATTATGAATTAATGTTTTTTTTTTCTCCAGCTTGCACTCCAAGCAAGTACAAATGCAATAGCAGCAACACCGAATGTTTGGACTGGATCTACGTTTGTGATGGAGAAACTGACTGTAGTGATGGATCTGATGAAAGTGACTGTGAAAGAGGTTTGTTTCAAAATATATGATCATGAAATTAATTACCTGCCCAAGGATAACTCGCAGATGGTTGTGTTGTTTCTATGTATTTGGGAAATGTGCATACCATAAAGTAACTGAAAATGATGTTAGGACAAATTAGGAACCAATAAATGAATGTTACTGGTAGGAACCCACGGGTTCCACCAGCCCACAGGGGATTATTGTGTCCGTCGTGCAGGGAGGGTCTGGGTGGGGAGGGAGGGACTGGGTGGGGAGGGGAGGGTGGGGAGGGGCTGGGTGGGGAGGGTGGGGCTGGGTAGGGAGGGAAGGGTGGGGAGGGGCTGGGTGGGGAGGGGCTGGGTGGGGGGTGGGGCTGGGTGGGGAGGGGCTGGTCACCCCGTGGTGCCTTTATAAAATTCAACGTTTAACCTACTCAGGCCGGCTTGTGCCCGCCCTCACAGTCGGGCATATTGGCGGAATACACCACGCCGCCGTTGACCCTGGCCATTGACCAAGCAACCCAACGTTCCTACCAGATCCCTCCGCAGGAATGTGTTAAAGTAATATTTACCTAATACACATTGTTTATCCATGTCATACCAGAATGTTCAGAAAGTGAGTTCCGCTGTGCCGATAAGAAGCACTGTATCCCTGGACGTCTTTACTGTGATGGAGAGGCCGACTGTACAGACCAGAGCGATGAGACTTCAAACTGCCAATGCCGCTCAGACCAAATCCGTTGTGGCAATGGAACCTGCCTTGCAATAGCGTTCGTGTGTGATGGAGTCAACGACTGTGGAGACTATTCAGATGAAAGCAACTGCAGTGAGTTAATCATCATGTAAACTATTCTTTAGCATTTTGAATGTCATATATTGATGATGAGAAAAATGCTGTCATTCCTACGAAGTAATTAATTTATGTATTTTTTCAGCTTGCACTCCAAGCAAGTACAAATGCAATAACAGCAACATCGAATGTTTGGACTGGCCCTACGTTTGTGATGGAGAATCTGACTGTAGCGATGGCTCGGATGAAAGTGACTGTGAGAAAGGTTTGTTTAACAAAAAACATGAAATCAATTACCTGCTTGCGAATAACTTTAAAATAGTTTTTTTCCCCTATGCAACGTAGAATCAGTTCAGTATTAAATTAAACATCAATCTATGATGTGAAAGTATACAATTTGATCTCACTTCATCTTTTTTATAATGTATATCCTACCAGAGTGTTCCAGTAGTGAGTTCCGCTGTGCTAACAAGAAGCAATGCATCCCTGGACGTCTTTACTGTGATGGGGAGGCCGACTGTCCAGACCAGAGCGATGAAACTCCCAGCTGCCATTGCCTCCCAGAGCTGCAACTTCCTTGTGGCAATGGGACCTGCCTGGCAAAGGAGAGCTTCTGTGATGGAGTCAACGACTGTGGGGACTACTCAGATGAGACCAACTGCAGTGAGTTTAGAATCGTTGTCTTTTTAAGCATTAAAGGGTTGATTATTCAAAGTGGATTCCCTCTGAGTTAATCACTGTGTATTTAAATTTGTGCGTGTTACTTTTTTCCTGCAGCTTGCTCTCCAAGTCAGTTCACATGCAGTAGCAGCAGGCAATGCCTTGACTCGATGTTTGTTTCTGATGGAGACACAGACTGCAGCGATGGATCGGATGAAGATGAATTCGGTACATTTTAAACTAAAGGAAAAAAATGTCGTGCCATTTTTATGAATCTTGATAAAGAACCCCATTTCCTATTAAATATATTAATACAAATTGACTACAATAACACATTAACTATTAGAAATAATGTTTCATGAACATGAACGTTATCTTTGACAATCCAGATGGTAATGTGGCTTCAATTCGTAATGTGAAAGTATCATATTGGATCTCACGTTATCTTATAAAATAATCTATATCTTACCAGGATGTTCAATCAGTGAGTTCCGCTGTGCTAACAAGAAGCAGTGCATACCTGGATGGTTTTACTGCAATGGGGAGCCAGATTGCATGGACCAGAGCGATGAGACTCTGGACTGTCAATGCCGCTCAGACCAAATTCGTTGTGGCAATGGAACCTGCCTTGGAATAGTGTTCGTGTGTGATGGAGTCAACGATTGTGGAGACTACTCAGATGAGGACAACTGCAGTGAGTCAAATGTCTATCAAAATATTAAACAATGTATCTGAATAATGCGTACTACTTTGGTAAACCATTGCTTACAATCAATATTTGCACATGCCTTTTTCTTGCAGCTTGTTCTCCAAGCCAATTCACATGCAAGAGCGGCAGACTGTGCGTGGACTCGATGTTTGTTTGTGATGGAGAAACGGACTGCAGTGATGGATCAGATGAAATTGGCTGTGATAAAGGTACCTCTCGTCACGATTGCTCTTTGAAACTTTTATTGTAAAAAATGTGTAATAGTGTTCCAGGAGACTCGACACCGGGGTTGGAGGCACACGTATTTATTCCGTGTCGGTACAGTACAGCACTGACATACAACACTGGAGGGGATATCGGCCCCCTCACCCGTCTAACTGGGGATACACTTCTAGCTATGCCTAGCCTACCCCTGGGTCCTCCACTAACGGGCTAGGGAAGGCTAGCTAGCCCGACACTGGTAAGTCGGGCTCACGGTACCCGGAGTCCCAGACCAGCTCTTACAAGAGCACCGGCTCTGGCTCTCGGGACCACGCCGCTGGCTCGATCCTGTCCGGCCCTGACAAGGGCGGCGATCCAGGGGAGTCCAGGGCTCTATCTATGACGATCTTCGATCTTCACTGGTTAGCTTCAACATCTCTCCCTGAGCCCTCCGGCTCATCCCCTTTTATACCAAAACCCCCGCTGAGGGGTGGGGCCCCGGGGGATCCCAGCTCCGAGTCGGCCCCCCAGGCTGCCCGATGCGGACGTCGCTGGGAGCACCTGCCCGTGCACCGACATAGTCACGCCCACTGTGTTTCTTTCCCATCTGATCCCATTGTATACAGCCTCTCCGTAACACCCCTACAAGTGCATGCTTCATCATGGTCCTCAAAATACACACATCATATTACTCCCAACAAAATAAATGTATGTAAGATGTTCGAAGCAAAAATCAACACCAATAGTTGTCTTATCATGTGACAACCCAGATTGTGCACTGAATGAGTTCCGATGTGCTGACAAGAAGCAATGCATCTCTGGACATCTTTACTGTGATGGGGAGGCCGACTGTGCAGACCAGAGCGATGAAACTCCCCGCTGCAATTGCCTCCCAAAGCTGCAAATGCCTTGTGGCAATGGGACCTGCCTGGCAAAGGAGAGCTTCTGTGATGGAGTCAACGACTGTGGGGACTACTCAGATGAGGCCAACTGCAGTGAGTGTAATGTCTTTCCAATTGAAAACAATGTATATCACTTGTGTAATGTCTTTCCAATTGAAAAAAATGTATGTCACTTAAATAAGTCGTGCTACATAAACTATTGTTTAAAAATTGCTTCTCATTTTCCTTGCAGCTTGTTCATCAATCCAGTTCACGTGCAGGAGCAGCAGGCTATGCGTGGACTCGATGTTTGTTTGTGATGGAGAAACGGACTGCAGTGATGGATCAGATGAAATTGGCTGTGATAAAGGTACCTTTCATCACGATTGCACTTTGAAACTTTTATTGTAAAAAGTGCATGCTTCATCATAGTCCTCAAGATACACACATCATATTACTCCCAACAAAATAAATGTATGTAAGATGTTCGAAGCAAAAACCAACACCAATAGTTGTCTTATCATGTGACAACACAGATTGTGCACTGAATGAGTTCCGCTGTGCTGACAAGAAGCAATGCATCTCTGGACATCTTTACTGTGATGGGGAGGCCGACTGTGCAGACCAGAGCGATGAAACTCCCAGCTGCCATTGCCTCCCAGAGCTGCAACTGTCTTGTGGCAATGGGACCTGCCTGGCCAAGGAGAGCTTCTGTGATGGAGTCAACGACTGTGGGGATTACTCAGATGAGGCCAACTGCAGTGAGTTTAGAATCGTTGTCTTTTTAAGCATTAAAGGGTTGATTATTCAAAGTGGATTCCTGCTGAGTTAATCACTGTGTATTGAAATCTGTGCGTGTTACTTTTTTCCTGCAGCTTGCTCTCCAAGTCAGTTCACATGCAGAAGCAGCAGGCAATGCCTTGACTCGATGTTTGTTTTTGATGGAGACACAGACTGCAGCGATGGATCGGATGAAGATGAATTAGGTACATTTTAAACTAAAGAAAAAAAATGTCGTGCCATTTTTATGAATCTTGATAAAGAACCCCATTTCCTATTAAATATATTAATACAAATTGACTACAATAACACATTAACTATGAAAAATAATGTTTCATAAACATGAACGTTATCTTTGACAATCCAGATGGTAATGTGGCTTCAATTCGTAATGTGAAAGTATCATATTGGATCTCACGTTATCTTATAAAATAATCTATATCTTACCAGGATGTTCAATCAGTGAGTTCCGCTGTGCTAACAAGAAGCAGTGCATACCTGGATGGTTTTACTGCAATGGAGAGGCCGACTGTGCAGACCAGAGCGATGAGACTCCCAGCTGCCAGTGCCTCCCAGAGCTGCAACTTCCGTGTGGCAATGGGACCTGCCTGGCAAAGGAGAGCTTCTGTGATGGAGTCAACGACTGTGGAGACTACTCAGATGAGGCCAACTGCAGTGAGTTTAATGTCTTTCCAATTGGAAACAATGAACAATTAAATAAGTCGTGTTACATAAACTATCGTTTCATAATTTCTTCTCATTTTCTGTGCAGCTTGTTCACCAATTCAGTTCACGTGCAGGAGCAGCAGGCTGTGCGTGGACTCGATGTTTGTTTGTGATGGAGAAACGGACTGCAGTGATGGATCAGATGAAATTGGCTGCGATATTGGTAACTTTAATATAGTTTTATACTCTAACGAATGTATTAAAATTAAAAGTGATTTAACCTCATCCTAAAGAGCCACGGGTCCTTGTACCACCAACAAAGTAAATGTATGAAATTTCAAAGCAAAAAACTAAAGACCCATCAACTAACATTTGTGACAATCCAGAGTGTGCAGTGCCTAAGTTCCGCTGTGCTAACAAGAAGCAGTGCATACCTGGATGGTTTTACTGCAATGGGGAGCCAGATTGCATGGACCATAGCGATGAGAATCTGGACTGTCAATGCCAACCAGACCAAATCCGTTGTGGCAATGGAACCTGCCTTGGAATAGTGTTCGTGTGTGATGGAGTCAACGATTGTGGAGACTACTCAGATGAGGACAACTGCAGTGAGTCAAATGTCTATCAAAATATGGAACAATGTATCTGAATAATGCGTACTTCTTTGGCAAACCATTGCTTACAATCAATATTTGCACGTGCTTTTGTCTTGCAGCTTGTTCTTCAAGCCAATTCACATGCAAGAGCGGCAGGCTGTGCGTGGACTCGATGTTTGTTTGTGATGGAGAAACGGACTGCAGTGATGGATCAGATGAAATTGGCTGTGATAAAGGTACCTTTCATCACGATTGCTCTTTGAAACTTTTATTGTAAAAAGTGCATGCTTCATCATGGTCCTCAAAATACACACGTCATATTACTCCCAACAAAGTAAATGTATGATAGATTTTCGAAGTAAAACCAACACCAATAGTTGTCTTATCATGTGACAACCCAGAGTGTGCAGTGCGTGAGTTCCGATGTGCTAACAAGAAGCAGTGCATACCTGAATGGTTTTATTGCAATGGAGAGGCCGATTGTGCAGACCAGAGCGATGAGACTCCCAGCTGCCATTGCCTCCCAGACCAACAGCTGCCTTGTGGCAATGGGACCTGCCTGGCAAAGGAGAGCTTCTGTGATGGAGTCAACGACTGTGGAGACTACTCAGATGAGGCCAACTGCAGTGAGTTTAATGTCTTTCCAATTGAAAACAATGAACAATTAAATAAGTCGTGTTACATAAACTATCGTTTCATAATTTCTTTTCATTTTCTGTGCAGCTTGTTCACCAATTCAGTTCACGTGCAGGAGCAGCAGGCTGTGCGTGGACTCGATGTTTGTTTGTGATGGAGAAACGGACTGCAGTGATGGATCAGATGAAATTGGCTGTGATAAAGGTACCTTTCATCACGATTGCTCTTTGAAACTTTTATTGTAAAAAGTGCATGCTTCATCATGGTCCTCAAAATACACACGTCATATTACTCCCAACAAAGTAAATGTATGATAGATTTTCGAAGTAAAACCAACACCAATAGTTGTCTTATCATGTGACAACCCAGAGTGTGCAGTGCGTGAGTTCCGATGTGCTAACAAGAAGCAGTGCATACCTGAATGGTTTTATTGCAATGGAGAGGCCGATTGTGCAGACCAGAGCGATGAGACTCCCAGCTGCCATTGCCTCCCAGACCAACAGCTGCCTTGTGGCAATGGGACCTGCCTGGCAAAGGAGAGCTTCTGTGATGGAGTCAACGACTGTGGAGACTACTCAGATGAGGCCAACTGCAGTGAGTTTAATGTCTTTCCAATTGAAAACAATGAACAATTAAATAAGTCGTGTTACATAAACTATCGTTTCATAATTTCTTTTCATTTTCTGTGCAGCATGTTCACCAATTCAGTTCACGTGCAGGAGCAGCAGGCTGTGCGTGGACTCGATGTTTGTTTGTGATGGAGAAACGGACTGCAGTGATGGATCAGATGAAATTGGCTGTGATAAAGGTACCTTTCATCACGATTGCTCTTTGAAACTGTTATTGTAAAAAGTGCATACTTCATCATGGTCCTCAAAATACACACGTCATATTACTCCCAACAAAGTAAATGTATGATAGATTTTCGAAGTAAAACCAACACCAATAGTTGTCTTATCATGTGACAACCCAGAGTGTGCAGTGCGTGAGTTCCGATGTGCTAACAAGAAGCAGTGCATACCTGAATGGTTTTATTGCAATGGAGAGGCCGATTGTGCAGACCAGAGCGATGAGACTCCCAGCTGCCATTGCCTCCCAGACCAACAGCTGCCTTGTGGCAATGGGACCTGCCTGGCAAAGGAGAGCTTCTGTGATGGAGTCAACGACTGTGGAGACTACTCAGATGAGGCCAACTGCAGTGAGTTTAATGTCTTTCCAATTGAAAACAATGAACAATTAAATAAGTCGTGTTACATAAACTATCGTTTCATAATTTCTTTTCATTTTCTGTGCAGCTTGTTCACCAATTCAGTTCACGTGCAGGAGCAGCAGGCTGTGCGTGGACTCGATGTTTGTTTGTGATGGAGAAACGGACTGCAGTGATGGATCAGATGAAATTGGCTGTGATAAAGGTACCTTTCATCACGATTGCTCTTTGAAACTTTTATTGTAAAAAGTGCATGCTTCATCATGGTCCTCAAAATACACAAGTCATATTACTCCCAACAAAGTAAATGTATGATAGATTTTCGAAGTAAAACCAACACCAATAGTTGTCTTATCATGTGACAACCCAGAGTGTGCAGTGCGTGAGTTCCGATGTGCTAACAAGAAGCAGTGCATACCTGAATGGTTTTATTGCAATGGAGAGGCCGATTGTGCAGACCAGAGCGATGAGACTCCCAGCTGCCATTGCCTCCCAGACCAACAGCTGCCTTGTGGCAATGGGACCTGCCTGGCAAAGGAGAGCTTCTGTGATGGAGTCAACGACTGTGGAGACTACTCAGATGAGGCCAACTGCAGTGAGTTTAATGTCTTTCCAATTGAAAACAATGAACAATTAAATAAGTCGTGTTACATAAACTATCGTTTCATAATTTCTTTTCATTTTCTGTGCAGCATGTTCACCAATTCAGTTCACGTGCAGGAGCAGCAGGCTGTGCGTGGACTCGATGTTTGTTTGTGATGGAGAAACGGACTGCAGTGATGGATCAGATGAAATTGGCTGTGATAAAGGTACCTTTCATCACGATTGCTCTTTGAAACTGTTATTGTAAAAAGTGCATGCTTCATCATGGTCCTCAAAATACACACGTCATATTACTCCCAACAAAGTAAATGTATGATAGATTTTCGAAGTAAAACCAACACCAATAGTTGTCTTATCATGTGACAACCCAGAGTGTGCAGTGCGTGAGTTCGGATGTGCTAACAAGAAGCAGTGCATACCTGAATGGTTTTATTGCAATGGAGAGGCCGATTGTGCAGACCAGAGCGATGAGACTCCCAGCTGCCATTGCCTCCCAGACCAACAGCTGCCTTGTGGCAATGGGACCTGCCTGGCAAAGGAGAGCTTCTGTGATGGAGTCAACGACTGTGGAGACTACTCAGATGAGGCCAACTGCAGTGAGTTTAATGTCTTTCCAATTGAAAACAATGAACAATTAAATAAGTCGTGTTACATAAACTATCGTTTCATAATTTCTTTTCATTTTCTGTGCAGCTTGTTCACCAATTCAGTTCACGTGCAGGAGCAGCAGGCTGTGCGTGGACTCGATGTTTGTTTGTGATGGAGCAACGGACTGCAGTGATGGATCTGATGAAATTGGCTGTGATAAAGGTACCTTTTCATCACGAATGTACTTTTTCTAACTGTCGTAATTTTTTTAAATGATGCTTCATTATGGTCCTTTAAAGACACAACTCGTATTACTCCCAACAAAATTAATACATGAAAGGTTTTCGAAGTAAAAAACTAACACCAATAGTTGTCTATCATGTGACAACCCAGAGTGTGCAGTGAATGAGTTCCGCTGTGCTAACAAGAAGCAATGCATCTCTGGGCGGTTTTACTGCAATGGAGAGCCGGACTGCATGGACATGAGCGATGAGACTCCGAACTGCTGGTGCCACACAGACCAACAGCTGTCTTGTGGAAATGGGACCTGCCTTGCAAAGGAGAGCTTCTGTGATGGAGTCAATGACTGTGGGGACTACTCAGATGAGGCCAACTGCAGTGAGTGTAATGTCTTTCCAATTGAAAACAATGTATATCACTTGTGTAATGTCTTTCCAATTGAAAACAATGTATATCACTTAAATAAGTCGTGCTACATAAACTATTGTTTAAAAATTGCTTCTCATTTTCCTTGCAGCTTGTTCATCAATCCAGTTCACATGCAGGAGCAGCAGGCTGTGCGTGGACTCGATGTTTGTTTGTGATGGAGAAACGGACTGCAGTGATGGATCAGATGAAATTAGCTGTGATAAAGGTACCTTTCATCACGATTGCTCTTTGAAACTGTTATTGTAAAAAGTGCATGCTTCATCATGGTCCTCAAAATACACACGTCATATTACTCCCAACAAAGTAAATGTATGATAGATTTTCGAAGTAAAACCAACACCAATAGTTGTCTTATCATGTGACAACCCAGAGTGTGCAGTGCGTGAGTTCGGATGTGCTAACAAGAAGCAGTGCATACCTGGATGGTTTTATTGCAATGGAGAGGCCGACTGTGCAGACCAGAGCGATGAAACTCCAAACTGCCAATGCCGCTCAGACCAAATCCGTTGTGGCAATGGTAACTGCCTTGGAATAGTGTTTGTGTGTGATGGAGTCAACGACTGTGGAGACTACTCAGATGAGGACAACTGCAGTGAGTGGCTTAAACTCAAAATTTTCATTTTTGAGCCACCAAACCTTTGGAAAATATTACATTATTGATCAAACCTTAATTAAAAATTCACCTAAAGTGTGCTAATGTGTGCCTTGCAGCCTGTGTTGATGGGGACTTTCAGTGCAAAAGCAGTGGATGCGTTCCGCTTTCTCTTGTTTGTGATGGCGAAGTGGACTGTGTAGATGGCTCGGATGAAGCTTTATTTTTATGCAGACCAGGTAAGCCAGTGTATCTCCTCAGTCTTTTTCAAAATAAAAATAGTTTAATGCTTTTTGCCTGCCACTGTGAGTAGATGTTGCTGTACGTTGACATTTACATTGACACTGTTTTGTCCTTCGTGTATTACAGCAAAGTATAATTTTAGAGCAATGTTGAATTTTGATCCATCTCTGAACATCAATCAATTGGAGAATGAGGTGAGAATCTTGGTTATCTTATGGACAATGCGACCAATATTTTTCAGATACTTTTATACTTGGTGGGCAATAATGGAATCCTTGTATTGAACTGTTTTTTACATTATTAATGAGTTTTTTTCTCCTCCTAAATGACAGATACAAATACACATGAAGAATGCACTACCAAAGCAGAATGTGAAGATACATTATAAGCAACTTCCCTAAACACTTTTTAAAATTGAAACGCAGAGAATTTCTCCACCAAATAACCACAACTAGTTGTTTTAAAGCAATTATAACTATATACAATACAATACTGTATGGAACACTTAAAAAAAATGCAGTACTTTTGAGAGCATCAAACACACCCCCATGTACGCAAACGGCGTCCTTTTGGGGTCCTCTGGTCTAACACAATTTGAGACGAGGTTCCAAAGAAAGCTGTCTCTGGTGTGGACCTATCAGTTTCAAAGACAATGCATATATTATCAGAGTATGTTTTTTTTTCATTCTGACCACAAGTATTGTGGTTAATGCAGACATGATTCCTTGTAAAAGGTTTCAGTTTGGTGTTTTAACATCTTAACACCTGTTATGTTGCCAGAAAAAAAGTGGAAAACCGATTATCATATTTTGGTACTGGCAAAGGAGGTCCTATTATGTAGTTTTATGATGTTCAGGTGGTTATTGGAAATAAAATTCAAGACAACATTTACTTGTGTCCAAATACTTTAACAAATTTCCCGAAACTCATTGCTGAGTCGGACACCACACGGGTCTATCCAGCTCTCTCTGGATTGGCGACGATAAAAAAAAACAAGGTAAAGGTGCAGACCTGCAATTACTTGCTCACGGCACTGCTGACGGAAGGGGCCTCCACTCGAGGAGGCTATGGAGAACTCTGGAGGGTTATTAATGGCCTACTCTTCCACACTGGCCAGACATCTTGGAGGAAATAGCCACATTACATCGCCACACGTGAATCTGCAGCTGGGTGAACAGGCAGGGGGTATTGTGAAACTTGCTGAGCTGGGGATCCAACCGACGACCTCTCGTTTTTACGAGTCCATTGTACGAAACAACGCCATGGCAGCACATGCAATGAACCAACATAGGTCACTAGAGCTGGTCCGTTCCGCCTCTCCCCAGCCGTGATCATAACAAGAGAACAGGACTGTCGGCTACATCACTACAAAGACATGACGTTGAACAAGGCTAAGTTAACTATTTACCTGAAATGGCATTGTGGAATGTGCATGAAGGTGGTGCACATTATGTGCCACAAAGTCTGTTTTACTTCCTGGAGTAATATGCACGCAATGGTAAGTTTATGTTGTATTTAACAAAGTTAATTTAAAAAAATATATGAAAATGGTAACATAATTTAAAATACCTATGCAGATGAATGGCACAGTCCTATTGTGGCTTCATTTTATCAGCAGGAGGTGAAATGTAAACAAAGGAATTCACTAAATAGGGCCATTTCAAGTAACACATGACAACTCTTAAATTTCGATTAAAGCTTTCGTGACTGCAGGGATTCGTCTTCTTGGTTCTTTCGGTAAAGTCACATAGAAGGGAAATAATAAAATATTTGTATTATTTTTATTATTTTATTATTTCCCTTCTACGTGACTTTACCGAAAGAACCAAGAAAATGACAACTCTTGTCTACATATCCTTAGAATCTATCAGCAGATTACTCGAATTTAAACACTGGGTTTATTCTGCCTCTAATCTTAACATTGCCTCTCATTTGGCTTAAACTAGGCTTCTGTCATTTACAATGCTTATATAACTAGTATCTTGCTTGTTTGATCTCAAGCGATTGGGCCAGTACCATCCGCTTGTGGGCTCCACTCTCAAGCCACCACTATGCAGCAGACGCACATCGAATAATACATTTCCTTATTCACACATACAAATGAAAGGACTTAGTGCAAGTAAACTAAAATTCATATTGGTATTACTGCAAACTATATCACAAATTATTTTGGAAGAGATAATTCTCCGACATATTTTTACAATCTTATTGCACATCAATATTACACAGTCCACACGGTTATAACTTAAAGTGTCCATTCATAGCTAATGCATACCTATATTATGGCTTTAGGATAATATATAATTGCTCACTCGATCATGTTACCATGGACCACCCAATTGTTGGCCTCAAAACAGGAAATACCCTCAGCACGTGACACATTGTACTGTCTCCACCCTGGAGTAATTACGAATAGTCGCACAAACCACAGCAAGCTTTTGTGAACAAAAACTACTGACAGAAAGCCCACATTGCACAACCCAAAACATGAAGAACGTAGCCGTAAAAACCTCACTACACATTTTAGGGCATACTCCATTGGGATATTGGAAAATTCCCATTGGGAATGCTGGCATGTGAGAAGAAACAATCACCCAGAGAAACTCCATTTAAAAAGAAAGCCATCACACTCAAGTAAATCTCTTTACATATAGGTTCTTAAATGCAATGTATTCAGTCACATGGCCACATTGCTGCCCGGCAGCTTTCCAAGTTTAACAAATATACGATGATCAACTCATTGCCGCATGCGCCGGAATGTAGGCGTGCAGCACGACTATGCTCTGCGAAACACGCCAACTAATTATTGCTATTGTGTTTTTACACTTTACTTGGCGGGTGGAACAATTTCATTCTAAACAGCTTTATCGCTTTAATTTATAATGATTTGGAAATGGCAAAACTAATCCAGGAACAAAGGTGGGTTTGCCACCTGTTACTTAAATGTTTAATTCCGTTTGCTGTTAAGTATTTAGGATCGAAGTTCTAAAGCAATGACAATTCATGGCAAGAAGTTTCGTGGTTGTGAAACCCGTTTAGGTATGAGTGCATTATTTGAACTTCCACATACGTTCAGTACTATACAAAGCGAGTAAACTATTTCAACTAATGTTTATTTATCTCTTACGCCTTTTACCCTATTACTAGCTTTACTACCCGGCTTCGCCCGGGACTTCGATTCTTGTCTAGGATTAATTTCATATTCCCTTACATTTCACTGAAAAACCCTGAAAAAAATGTACGCTTGCAAGAAAGAAAAAAGCCGAAACAAATCAATTTTAATCTTAATTTTAGAACTTTCGTGACTGCAGGAATTATTATTTGGTTCTTTCGGTTAAGTCACGTCTAAAGATAAAAAATAAATTAAATAATAGCATACGACGTTTCGATTGCAACACAAGCAATCATCATCAGGTATAATGATGGTGATATCTGTCTGCTAATATGTCTGTCTATAGTTTTCTGGTTAGATTTTATGTCGCTATTTCATTATACCTGATGATGATTGCTTGTGTTGCAATCGAAACGTCGTATGCTATTATTTAATTTAATTTATTATTTTATCTTTAGACGTGACTTAACCGAAATAACCAAATAATAAATCAATTTTACTAAATCGGATGTTTTTCACTCAAGGAAATTCAACCTTAACCCACTTATACGTAAGGTCGATTTTGGCAACTCGGGAATGGAATGACGTGGCTTGGTGAAAATAGTCGCGTTCCCTTAGAAATTCCAGACAGCATCAGCTGTGCAAATTTCACGACGTCAGCGTTCGAGAGTTTTTGCTGCTTCACACAAACAAATGTATTTTCTGCTTAACATTTAAGAGCGAGCTGAAAATCGAGACAGCGATGCCGCGCCTTCGTGCGGGATACACGCCCTACGCAGATGGTTGGGGGGGCGGGGGTGACGTCAGCAGGCACACTGCGTGACGCTTCCGCATGCGGGTGACATCACAGATGTGACGTCACAATTCACTTGCCGTGCAAAATATATCCATTATTGCGCCCCCCTAACCCCCCCCCCCCCAAAAAAAAATACTAAAGTCTATTTTTATACTTTTTGCATGCTGTACAGTCTGGAAACTACCCACATGCTAAATTTCAAGTTTGTTGCATTTCGGGAAGTATGCTAAACATTTCGAACAGACACACGTATTCACAAATTTCCCTTTTATATACATAGATTAAAGTCAATACTCCATCTCTATAAGCTCTTCATTGCCAGTCGGTGCCTTCTGTTGGCAATACGGAAGGATAGACGCTGGCTGGTTTACGTTTCCAAGACACTTGCTACAAGATACGGCTGGCAAAGCTTACTAATTACACACGTGGTAGAACACGAACTTTAATATCACGAGTGCATTCCCACTCACGGCCACCAACACCAGTGACGACTATCTGACTACCCACCCAACCACCCACCCACCCACCCACCCCTTGTGTGCCGTGCCGGCGTTCATCGGTACTCGTTAACAGCACTTGCTCCAAAAGTCGGGGGATCTCTGTGTGTGTGTCTACGTACGTGTGTCTGTGTGTGTGACTTAGGAGGGTTCCACGGGCTACACTTATTTGCCAATCTTATTTGACAGACAACCATTACAGTTTTACCATGTTTAGTGGTGGTCTCCCTGTCACAGGTTGAGTCACAAACCGCACCTCTCCATAACAAAGGCTCAGCCTTTGTTATGCAGTCTATTCTTAGTCTTAAGCCTCACCTTACCATATTAATAAAAAGTATGCGGCCCTTGCCCCACCACCTTCTCCAACCATTATATAAACGGAGTGGTAGCTCCTGAAAACTCTCATTTACTTGATACAGCTGTCGTGGCTGTGACGGTTCCACCTGAAGACGGAAGCTTGTGTTGCCTCCGAAACGTCGTGATTTTTATTTTATTTTACTTTTTAATGTTTTACCTACGTGACTTTACCGAAAAAACCTAAGAATATGAATCATTGCAGTCACGAAAGCTTCAAATCTAGAATTCAAATCTAGAATATAATACAACCCTCGGGGATTTCGCGTCAATGAAAGGGGGGTAAGCGATGTTGCTTCTATCTGCTTTAGACTCTCCGTAACGGGCTGACATCATCATCATCAGGTTGTTTCTGCCGGGCAATGGAAGTGGAGGCCCCACATCACCATGAGAGCCACGTCCCGGGATCCATTCATCCGCTGGTTGAGGCTGCCCCCTTGTGGTAACTGCTGGAAATTGGCTTCAGAAGTTGCGAAGTAACTCTGTACCAACTTTATTCTGTCCGGAAAATTTCTGAAAATCAATTTTTTGTATAGTTTAACACGTAGGCTTTCTTGATCAATATCCAAAATCACGTTTTTTTATGCTCCAACGTACCTATGGATCGGTCAGAGGTGGGTCTCCAGTGGGCTTTTCATTGTCTTCAAGAATATATCAGAAAATACAATTGTTTTTTTTTATAATTCTTTAGATAATTAGAACAAATAAATCCATTAAGCAATTCAACTTTACGAACCTTACAGTACCCTTGCTTCGGAAAATCCTGGACGGTTTCTGTACTTTAAAAAACATCATAGATATTTGGTGTATCTGTAGTGGCATATGACGTCACTACCGTGTTGGGTCTGTACACACATGACGTCACTACTATGTCAATGTCGCTATGAATGACGTCACTGCGGGATCGGGCAGTGTGGAGGCTGTTGACGAGTGCCACGGGGATCGTGACCGGATCAAGGTGGGGGCCAGTGGCCCCAGAGGGACCTTGGGGGTCACGTGGTCGGGGAGCAGAGCCTTCTCGGGGGTTCGAGAAGGTGGGCGTGGCCTGGGTGTGGCCGGCCACGCCGAGGCGCATATAAGCGGGCTCTGCACGCAAAGCGGAGCTGTTTGTGTCTGGGATGAAGATGCCTCATGAAGACAGAAGCCTCAAGTCGTCGTGGCCATACAGAAGCGCTCCTGGCTTGGCCACGTTGAGTAGTGTCCGAGTGTTAGCGAGATTAGGACGGTGGTCACCACCTTATAAATAGTGTGTGTAAATTTCGATTTAAAGCTTTCGTGACTGCAGGGATTCATCTTCTTGGTTCTTTCGGTAAAGTCACGTAGAAGGGAAATAATAAAATAATAATAAATACATTTTATTATATTATTTTATCATGTTTTATTTTAATTATTTTATTATTTCTCTTCTACGTGACTTTATAGTGTGTGTGTGTTACAGTTGTATTGCAGTTGTGTTAAATAGTGTTGCCTCCATACGAGTGTTTGCGCCTCTGTCGAACCATTACATATCTGTTACTCTACACTTGTACTGGAAATTATTAAAGCTCAGCCTAGTGTGCATAATAATCCAAATAAATTCAGGAAAGCGATTGGAACATTGAAACACATGTAAGCTGTGCGCAAAGGGGCATTTAAATGACACGAATGTCATTAAAATAAATTACCACAAAGGCCCAAAGTAGATGCTGAGAGATTAACCAACGATAAGGTACTTTGGACAGGGCGCGCATGCTGGACATTGAAATACTGCCGAGGAAGCATCAGCTGCGATGGGCCAGAAACGTAATGAGAATGTCAGACGATCGCATTCAAAAGGATCTCATTATTGGCGAACTCTACCAAGGCAGCCGTTCAAAAGGCTGGCTGGCCCCTTCGTTGGAAAGACACCCTACAATAAGTATAACCCGTAAAAACAAAGTTTTTCACTCTAAATCCTTGATATGCGTGGCGGCTAGAGTCCTCTCGTCCTCTGGCTTGAGATGGCTGCAACCTATGGGTCAGATGATTGCCAGTATTAAGCAATTGGTAATTAAATATTTAATTTGTTTTCCCTAAACAGTGTAAAATTTTGGAAAAAAATTTTCACGAACATTAATTGTCTCGCACAACGAGTCTGTGTGCAAAATGTCAGCTCGATTGGATCACGGGAAGTGGGTTAAAAAACGACCGAAAGATTTGCACGTTCGTAAGCAAGCAAGCAAGCACGCAAGCACGCAAGCAAGCAAGCAAGCGAACTTAATATAAATGATTTAATAAAGGATTTAAAAAACCACACGCGCGCGCGCTATTGCACCGTGGTTTCCCTGTCCCCTGGTTGGCAAGAAGCAGTGCAGCAGAAGATAAGCAGTGCACATGGGGCTCGGACGCCTGGATCGGGATGCAACTTGAACGTATATACTTTATTGTTTTAAGGGGCGCCACGGTGGTGAGACGTTTCTTCCTCGTCTGGTATGCAGGGAGGTCTTGGGGTTCGATCCAGACCCTGACACCTGCTGTATGTTTGGTCGCATGTATTTTTTCTCCGGGTCCTCCGGTATTCCCCTCCACATTTAGAAGCGTGCATTGAGATTATTTATATGTGATCAATGAACCTCATGGCGGGACCCGGGGATCCCGAATAAGTCAATATCGTAATTAATTCATTTATTTTCGGTGACTCCGTCCCACCGCGCACATAAACGCCGCGACCCACCTGGCGCGGATCATTCTGATGTCATGTCCAAGGGGCCGTCCATAAATGACGTCACACGATTTTGGACGCTTTTTGACCCCCCACACCTTCGTCACACGGCGTCACAAAAAAATCAGCCCCCCCTCAAATATGACGTCACAAAGCTCTGCCCCCCCCCCCCCAAAAAAACATAAAACATGCTTCAAATCTTCTTGGTTCTTTCGGTAAAGTCACGTAGAAGGGAAGTAATAAAATAATAAAAATAAAACATAATAAAACAATTCTCACGACGTTTCGGCCAAAACGTCGTGAGAATTGTTTTATTATGTTTTATTTTTATTATTTTATTACTTCCCTTCTACGTGACTTTACCGAAAGAACCAAGAAGATGAATCCCTGCAGTCACGAAAGCTTTAAATCGAAATGCTTCAAATCGCTTTAAACTATTGTCATTGTAGTGCGTATTTAATGTGGCGCTGCACTCTGATGTAGGATAAAACATTTATTTAAGAGTCTAATTAAGTAGAACGTGTTGTCTATATTTATTTAAAGTTGCGCATTTTGATGTGACGTCACATTTCTCACCCCCCCCCCCCCCCGACGTCATTTATGGATGGCCCCCAAGCGCAGCAGCGAAGACGAATGCGCAAAAGAAACAACACTTTGAAACTTTGATTAGCGCATCGTGTAGAGCTCGTCGAGAGGAATAGATTGCCGTTTCGTTCGCCTTCAACAGACATACAATGACGTCGCAACGCAGTTTATGCGAGAGCCGGGGGCTTATGGGACCCCGGGGTCCCGCCATAAGGTTCAAATTTAATGTCCAAATGAAAAAGCCACTTTGTTTAGCTATCATTTGTGGCCAGGTCGCTTCTGAAAAACAAGTTAATACCTCAGTGGGCTTTGCCTGGTAGGATGGGGATGGTTTAGTTTTATTTTGTATGTGTTTGGGTGATTTGTATACTTTTCTGGATTTTAAGCTTTCGTGACTGCAGGAATCCATACTATTTGGTTCTTTAGGTGAAGTCACGTAGGTAGAAAATAAAATAATTGCTTACCTTTCTTCTACCTTGCACTGCTATCGTGTTTTTGTACTGTTGTAACGTTCTTACCCGCCCCTACTGGACATCTGTGAAAAAAGAGCTTTATAGCTCATCGGATTCCTCCAGTATAAATAAATATTCTAATTCTTTCTTAAAATTCCATCGAGAGGTTAAACAAAATAAATAAAATTGTTGTGATCTGCACGATGCCTCAACCCTCTTGGTCTGGCAAATGCTTACACCCAGAGATAAAACCCCCATATGTCTCTGGTTCTGTGTTTTATCTCTCTCTCAAATTTAGCATTCTCAGGAAGAACGTAATCAACCAGGTAGGGTGTTGACTGTTATGTTATCCGACTCTCTGTTGTATTACATTACATTTCTAAGTATACTAGATTTGTGTTTCTATTTCATTTATACCTGGTGATGATTGCTTGTGTTGCAATCGAAACGTCGTATGCTAGTATTTAATTTATTATTTTATATTTACACGTGACTTTACCGAACGAACCAAAGAGTAATATTCCTGCAGTCACGAAAGCTCCAAATAAAGTTTGATAAAACCCTCCATGCTGCCAACAAGCCCCATCTAGAGGCAAAAAAAACCTTTGTTCTGGCAAGCGATCGTCATTAGAGGTTAAAAACCTCTGGTCTGGTAAGGCGGGCGGGGGGCGTGGTCAGCACCACGTGGTGTGCCACTCCAGAGCCATGGCGGCGAACACGGTGAGTGCTGTAACGTTACTGATGTTCGTTTTTTCTTTTTGCTAATGTTGAACTTTCTTCTTGTTTTTTTTTATCTTGCCGCCGCCGCACGTAAACATTCTTTACAAGCAACACTTTAAATTGGCCCTGTCCGCTTGTGTGGTGCGGAGCGGTCACGAGGAACGGAGCGCGCTGTTTGATACTGTACTGTACTGTACTCGCACACGTATGTTCAGCTAGAAGTGCGGACATGCGTGTGCGGGGACTCGGGGCGTTTATTTAGTTCGTGTTAGTGATTCATTGATGGGCAGAGGTGGCGGTAGCAGTCCACGTGCAGTCAATCCACTGCGGAATGAGGGTCTCCACGCCGTTGCAGGCAGTGAAGGCTTATTTTAACTATACTTCACCGCTCCGGTCAGTGCGGGTTGGGGAGGGGGGGGTACGATACAATAATGATATTGTGCCACCCTGCTCTTTACTTATCCCGCACCTCCCATAAGCATGGTTGGTTGCGTACGGTGCGAAAGAAGTTATGAATATATACCCACAACGCCTACTGCACATGTTTTACGCGTGTTGGTCGCCCATCCACACTGCCCAGGTCCAAAGCTGCTTGGTTTCCGAGTTGTGGCGATAACCCGGCCAATTCTGTGTGTCGTGTGGTCAAAGGCTTGTCTAGCACAGTGCTGTAAATTGTTGGGTTGTGTTCTTATTGCAGTGAAAACATCGGCCACGAGGAGTCCAGTTCACTCACGTTACCGACTTGCCTATATTGAAAGATGAGATTTCCCAGTTAAACACGCCAAAGTTTGCGTGTGTTTGGAACCGTTAGACCAGCGTTAGCCCAACGTTGAATGTGTGTGTGTATGGGTTGTTATTATGCAGTCTGTGATGAACGTGTGGAATTTTCATTTTTGTGTCCAGACATATCCAGACAAGGACGTCAAGGAGGCCTTAAGCCTCTTGAATTCGCTGAAGGAGCAGGTAAATGAGAGAGTGTCCAACAATTATCAAGACTGCTGCAATCACAACACCTGTCTCTGTTACATCACGAGAAGTTCACTGAGATTGACTGTTTCATTTACAGGGGAAACCAAAGTTTACACCATTGGAACCTCATTTGCCAGTACAAAATATGATAATTGTTTTTTTACCCTTCTATCTGGCAACAAAACTGACACCTTTTTTACAAGGAGTCATGTTTGCATAGACATGAATATATACCCACAACGCCTACTGCACATGTTTTACACATGTTGGTAAAAAAGGTGTCGGTTTTGTTGCCAGATAGAAGGGTAAAAAAACAATTATCGAAACCAAAGTTGTTATAATGTTAGTGGCTTATTTGTGGGCAGCAGAGGTCCGTGCAGAAAAATATTTTGTTGTACGGTACTATCCATCCACGTGTGTGTGCCCCGCCTTCAAGTCCAGCTTCAACTTGTTTGGTTTTGTCATTTTGGTGACCCAGGTCACTCTTGCAAGTAAGACTCTTAATCCTGGTCTCTTGAATTATCAACCTGGATAAACAATATGAACTTTACTTGAACCCGCACGACCCACGTGGCATGGGGAGGCCCTCACCCAGCAGTAGATTGACTAAATTTGTTGCACATTACATTTGTACTTGAGTTATGTTAATGGTTTGGAAGCTGTAACTCCACAAATTCTGTTCACGGTAGGCATCTTGATATGTGGTAAAAGCGAAGATGACCACAATTATAAAGTGTATTAAGGTTATTCTTAATTGATGTTGATGATATTGCATAAGCAAAATGTATGGCGTACACTCCACGTGACAACCAGTTAATACAGTTGTCATGTGAACAAACCTTCCAGTGTATTACCGCTTCAGCACACCGATATATTGGAGAGGAATCCACAACATTTGGGTACCCAATTGTTAAATGTGTAGGAGGGTGTATAACATATTTCAATGACGCGATTCTGACCAAAAAATAAATTGGAAATCATTGTTTGCAAAATCCTATGTGTTACATTTATTCATAGTTTGCATTTTTAGAATTGTTATTCTAATCCGTGATTCTCTTAATTTCAGGTGACCAGTGTTACATCGCACATTCAAGGGCTTCGGAATAAATGCACGAGTGAAGATTTTGACATGGCCAAGGTACGTTACTGCCAGGCATTTTTACTCTACTGTCGTCTCGTTTCTTTAAACGCTTGTGAGTGTGCTTGGGATATATTGCCATTGTTGCTAACCCAAAGGTCACTAGAATGACCTAAAGTCAATAATGCCTGCTGATTTAACAAATATTACACAGTTAACTGTTATAGGATTGCCAATATTTAACTGGAATTGCCCTTAAATCTGCATTATTTACTTGTCCCAGAAAGTAACTCGATTTCTCACTAAAGTCACCTGGACAAAAAAAATGTATTGCTGATTTGGAAACACTGATCTTGGTTGACACTTGCCTGTGAATCCACATACAGGGGCTGAGTTTATTGGACGTTAAGAACCATATGCTGCTCACCTACCTGATGGACCTGACTTTCGTGATGCTTAAAAAAGTGGAAGGACAGACGTTGGTAAATGAGCCGGCGATCTTCCGCTTGGTAGAAGTGAGAACTGTGAGTAATTGTTTATTTTTTTGCATTACTTCGAGCCATACTTCGTGATTATTAATGGTGATCTCGGTATATACTGATGTATCTCAAAACATTTTATGAACACTGTATAGAATTGTTTGTATAAGAATGGAAATAGTTTGTATGTTGTACATCATCATCATCTTGGTTTGTTCTTCCCCCACACCTCCGACTAGCATGGTTGGATACATTTGGTGCGAGAAGTTCAACATGCAAACATTTGCGTAACCCATGCAGCCACTGGAGATTACTACGTATATCATATTTATTAACCACAGTAGCAAAAAGCAGGTATTCTCGAAGCTTGACAACTCCGAATCCTGACAATTGATTGAATATCGAGGGTGCGGAGATTAACCATTACATGTCCAGTGACTGTAACAACACTTGCGTAAAGAACATGATTGTATGTATGTTGAACTTCTTTTGCACCATACGTAGCCAACCGTGCTAATTGGAAGTGTCAGCAATGTTTACCTCCATCCTGAAGCAATGATCAATGGTAAATTCCAAAGGCTTGTTTCAAGAGGAGGACGTTTTCCCTGTAGGTGCTGGAGAAGATGCGTCCTGTAGAACAGAAGCTACGCTACCAGATTGACAAGCTGGTGAAGACCACACTCACTGGCAGCATGGGTAAGCTTGGACGGTTGTTGGTTTTGAACTTCACAAAATGAAACCACTATGTGTGTTTATGTACACAGTTTCGTAATAATCATCATCATCCCTTAATCATGGGGTAAACGTTTTTATGATCTGCACAATGCATACCACTAATGTCCTTGACACTTTTCATCATCCTTCTGCTCCTTGGCTGACTTCACTTCGACTGGGCCCTGCTACATGATTTTGGAAAGTCCCCCTTGTCTTTCGATTGACTCGTTCTAACCATTATTGCAGCTTCTTTCGCTTTGTTTATGCCAGTAAGTTATATGCATTATAAAGAGCATTGTGTGTTCAGTGGGGTTTAAGAAAATGTGTGCTTTTAATGTAAGACACTCCTGGGCTGTTTGCCAATTGCTGTTTGCGAATGAGAAACGAGACTTTGAAATGACGGTCAGGTGCCACGTCGCAGTGCTTTGATGACCACGCCACATTGGTGTATTAAGACGTGTGACATTTATAGCACTGTAATGGGGAGTGCCTTACCATCGAAGCTTTAACCAAGGATGCATTTGCACATCTGTAAGAAAAGAGCGAATTGTTTTTTGGTTGGCAGCCATATAAAATTCCGTATTTGTATATGAGACTTTAGTGTTGTTTATTTTATGCCATTTGAGGCTTTTTTGGTGGCATTTGCAACTTAGCCATTCTCCAGGTTGTCATGTTATATGTATTTCCACATTGTTCCATTTTTTTGTAGGAGAGAATAACCCACTGAGATTCAAGCCCAACCCTGACAACATGGTTAGCAAGGTAAGCACGAACCAGCCTTGCATTCTGCATTTTAAGACCTTGTGCTGTAATGCTTTGCAGATTGCATATTTCTGAGTGAATTCTCACTTTCAAGGATTTAAGTAAAGTAACTGTGGAGCTGATAAGGGCAGTAGGAACCATGAGGTATGTGGTGGCTATGTGCGAGTTTCGCATATTCACGAGTTCCTAAATGTATACTTAGTCCCTATTCGTGACCTACCAGACTCCAGTATTTGCGAGTGGACGTAGTACCAGACCACCGTATATTTCTGCATTATACTTGATACGTACTTGCAGTCGACTCATTTATACATTTTGGTATAAAAGTTTACTGAGTTCCATTTAAAAAGAACGTGAATGCAATCGGGGAAAGTATTGCAGCGAGTGCTACCCAGTGCTAAAATGGACATCTGTGAAAAAGATGATCAATCACATGCATCTCCCGGGGAGTCACCCTCCTGAATTTCTGAGCATCACCACCACCTCCATCATTATCAAATCATCACCAGTAAATATAATTTAAAAAAAACACATTGGTCTTTATATAGTATTTATTGCGGTCATTGTTATTAAACATTTACAATTCCCCCCCATGTTCACTTGTACCAGGAATGTAACCCCATTTTTCCCATTGGAACAAAGTTTCTGCATTTGCGAATTCTTAATTCCTGATTGTTTTCAAGAATCTAACCCTCGTGGATAGAGAGGGTTTACTGTATATTGACTGATGAGGGTAATATGGAAAGAAAGGTATGATAGGATTGAGGTAAAGAAATATCACATTATACCCTTCCTCCCTTTCCCCCGTTCTGTTGGGTATGTGCTTTGTGACAGTTGGGTGATGAGAATGATGAAGACAGTGAACAAGACGAGAAGACAACGAAGGAAGATCAGAAGAAACAAAATAGATATGTCCCGCCGCAGATTGCAGCAATGCCCTACAGTAAGATATAGATGCCTGCTCATTGTGTTTCCCACATCTCTGATTAGCGCGGTTAGCTACGCAGGGTTCGAAAGAAGTTCAACATACATACATGCACAGTAGGGAATTGTGCTTCGTCTTATCTTAATGAGGTTTATATAGCGCCTTTACCAAGGTGCTTTACAGCAATTATACATTTTTACTTAACTTTCGTGAGAGCAGGAATTCATATTCTTTGGTTCTTTCGGTAAAGTCACGTAGATAGAATAATTATAAAAAATAAAGTCAATTAAAAAAACAAAAAACACTAATGTAGACTGTAGCCTGGTTCTAAATCTTAGTGAGTGTACTGGCAGTCTATAATGTAGACTGTAGCCTGGTTATTAAGTTTGGTTGAGTGTACTGGCAGTCTATAATGTAGACTGTAGCCTGGTTCTTAACCTCGGTGAGTGTACTGGCAGTCTATAATGTAGACTGTGGCCTGGTTCTAACCTGAATAAACTATAAATCAACTAAAGCAAAAACCACGACGTTTCGATCGCAACACAAGCGGTCGTCATCAGGAAAAGGGGGGGGGGGGTTTAGCCTCTAAAGGCAAATTGTTTATAAAGTTTTAGAGATGGGCGTTGCCCAAGTGTGTGGTTTTTTTATACTCACTTAATTTGTATTCTATCTATGTGACTTTACCGAAAGAACCAAAGAATATAGCAATTATAAAATTGTACATTGCATGATAATAATTTTAAATGAAGAATTGGGTTATTGGACGTGGTTGTGTAGTTTTGATTCAGTAAAACAAGAGGGATTGATAAGGAAGGAGGGTTGGGATCGGCCTAGTCGTAGTTGGCGGGTGGACAATACTGGGGGGCAGAAAAGTATTTGGCTTTTGGGCCATTGAGGCGTAAACATTTCCCTGACGTCTCCTTGCGGTGGTCTTTCCACATCTGCCCTTTCATCGTTGCTTTAATATTACTATGTTTAATCCTCTGGTTGGCGTCTTCTGGCTTCTGAATTGGTTCGGTTGAGCCTGGGGTATGTATGTGCTGCTAGTTCAGTGTTTTCTGCACTCCAGTCCTTGCAACTCCCCGAGCATTATTACAGTTGATCGTGATTACCAAGTGCATGCAGTGGACTGTTGGGGGTGTTACGAGGAATGGAGTTGGGACACATTATGGTTGGCCATCACATGCCTCTGTCAGAGATTGTGTTTTATAATGCTACAACCATACCTCAAGATATTGGCAATCTTGGACTCAAACTATGAACTCAATAACTGCTCAACTGATGCCATTGTTTACTCGTGATCAACACGATGAGCAACCATCGCTCAAACCCCTTTGCACATGGCATCCTTGAGATCCCGGGTGTGCTTCACTTGACAAAACAAGATTTCCATGTGGCCGTAGATGGGTCTGTCCGTCTATCCGTTCATGCTCATGTGTGTGTTTCTTTGCGTCCGCAGACCAGGATGACACGGAGGCGGACCGGCAGCGGAAGCGCTTGGAGGATGCCCGGCGGCGTGCGCTGAGCAGCTCTGTGATTCGTGAGCTGCACGAGGAGTACTCGGAGGCACCGGAGGAGATCCGCGACGGATACAACATGCACCGCATGCGCCACAGCCGTGAGGATCAGCACAGGTACCCGGAGCCCCATTGGGGGTTGTTGCTTGGATATATTTGACTATACATTTCCACATGATAAGCCACTTTGCACTTTCATTTTTGTGGCAAGGTCACGTATGAAAAAAGCTATTTCACTCAGTGGCCGTTACCTGGTAATTTTATACTTTTTTAAAGAGTTTTTTTTTTATATGAATGCATGTGTACATCAATTTTTTCCCATGTTCTGTTGGATAAAGCATCCCTATGCTGGGTAAGTCATGAGGGTTATTAACATTATTCCACTTTGGTGGTCTTTGAGGGTTTGTGAAGGTGGGGAACATAGAAGAACAATACATCAGTGGATTCTGCCGCATTGCCTCCTGCTTCCCATCACGTAGCCATGCAGGCCTATGATAACCAGTATATAAGGTCGTGTCTCTTGGGACTTCTCTTCACTTGATTCAGCAATTTTGATGTGACGGTTTCACCTGAAGACGGAAGCTTGTGTTGCCTCTGAAACGTCGTGATTTAATTTATTTGTTTTCTTATTTAACCTACGTGACTTTACCGAAAAAAACTAAAGACTATGATTAACTGTTTGTCATTAGTTGGCACCTGTCCACACACTACCTAGACTCAAACCTGCTTTGCTTAGCTGCTGCAATTTGACGAGATTAGATGAAGGTGGGTGCACTTTGTTGTACTCGGCTGTAGGGAGCAGCATTAGGTTGCCAAACAGACACAAATTGAGCATGTTATATGCACTCGTTGGCTTGTGGCCGGATCTACGGCATTACATTATTACTGCTTGCTGTGCTTATTTGAGTGTATGCTTTCATTTTCTTATATTAAAAGGGAAGTGAACAGCTAAAGTACACATCTATATGCAGAGTTGTTTTAAGAGTTGCGGGGATTGCAGTTGCTTTGGGCCCTGTTTTAATTGGGCTGCCTCTTCAGGCCTTGTTCCTTTCTCCTCACGCCCTGCCCCCTTCTCTTTAAGCCACGCTCCCTTTCTCATAGGAACCTGAACCAGCGACAGCTGCCGGTACACTGCAATAAATATGCTAGTGCATTATATTCAGATAAACAACAACAAAAAACTGGAATCAACTGCATGGGCATGAGATGCTCAGGGTTATGAAAAACCGTGAGTTCAGTGGAAATCCTTGAGCCTTGACGTATGGGGTGGTGGTGGGGGTTGTAAAAGGGGGGAGGGGCGTGTCCCTGCCGAACAATGGAAGTGGTGGGTTGGGGACAGTAGGTAAGTGGTGGGGCAGCATCACGACGGCAACCAAAATTTCTGTCCGAACACTGCAATCATATATTGCTGCAACTTGAAATCTGAACCTCCGTAGCGTTTATGCATACATCAGGCTACCTAGCTGTGTTGGATAAACAGGCCGCACCTTGCTAATAAGACTTCATGACGTAAAAACTTATCAAACGTTGCCATGCTTAAACACCAACAAGAACCATATACCAATGAATTAAAAGGAAGTGTTTTCATTGACAAAACCGATATCTTTGCCTAACTGCCTTTATGTTTGCATGTAATTCATATACAGGAAAACCCCTGTGAAACGTAAGGGATGCGTTAATGAGAAAGTGAACTCTTAATTTCCCATGTACAATGTTAAAGTCAGGGGTTGCATTCCTAGCTGATATTTCTGGAAAAAAAACGAGTGACTGAATGTAATGAAGTATACAAAAATGCACATGAGTATACGTTAACATACATTTTAATAAACAATGTATTCAAATTATTAGATAAAACTTACCAGATATGGTTGAAGAGCTATGCTGATTTTGATCTATAATCCAGACACGTACAAGTCTTTCCATAGTTTCTGTAGTTCCACAACTGCTATACAAGTTATTTTAATGGCACTTAAAGAGAAGCACATTCTAGAATTTTTACTGCATTAACTTGAATAGTTCTCACCGAGGCCATGGGTAGGCCAAAAATGTAGACACCTTCAAAACTTGTAAAATGTATAATTTTACCTCTAGATTAATACATAATTCACTGCATTTTGCACTCATCTTTGGAAGCCCTTTGTATTTTTTTTATATAAACTGACACCTAATACTAGAGTCTTTACCTAACACTTGCACAATGATGGAGGCTGAGCACGTGGTTTGAGGGTATTTCGGCGGTACCCACTATACATGTATATGTAGAGCGACGCATTATGCGACAACTTATAGCAGGGAATTCCGGTATTTATTCATTGTGGCATTGTACTTTTCAAACACAGATTTGTTTTGTATGGGTTTTGTCTATAATACAATTTGCATTTGAATAGCGACAATAGGATTGCATCTGGACATGTACAGAAATGGCATCTTGATTTCATAAAGAGCAAGGTAGCCGTTGAAAGAGAAATTCAGGTGAGTCTGGAATTGAATCAGGGCCAGGAAGCCAACAGCACAGATGACTGGGAGAAGGGAGTTCCATGCTATGGGAGAATGAAAATGCATAGGATAACAAGGAAAATTAGTGACCTCCCACTGAGTGAATGTTAACTGGGAGCCTCTACAGAAATCCTGCATATTTACGAGGTCAAATATTTTAATAAGTTCATTATAGTAAAATATGGGCTGGTGCACTCCATTGTGTTGTCATGAGTGTTCCCATTCCCAGCCTCAATTGCCTTGACAGAAAGCATTGATTTGGAATACTGTGGAATCAGAAGTTGGTGGGGAGCCACAGAGATGGAGGATTAATGACCGTTTTTCACTGTGCGCACGCAGAAAGGAGTATGAGGAGGCGATGATGGTGCGTCTCAACGTGCCCAAAAAGGAGCAGCAGAAGAGGAAGCGCGCCTTGGCCATGACGTCGCAGCTGGACTCACTCACACACTTTGGCGACATCAGTGCGCTGACCAGAGATGGAACGCTGGGGGAGGACGAAGTAGGTGGTGGTTGGTCAATGGGTTGGTACACACGAATTATTTAAAAGTTACGGGCAGAGCCAAAGGGAAATGCAGTGTGGGATGAGGTGTTGTGCTGCTGGTTTGTAAATTCTTTTTTCAAATCGGCGCATGAGTGCATGTTGGGGGCTCTGTTCTGTAATTTTTAGGCATGAAGTCATGTAAAAAAGATGGAGTTTTCACTGGAACTGCTGCGTAGCAAGTTTGTTGTAATCCCTCAAGTTAAATCTGATTTGTTTACTTTTTAGGATGAGAGGCCTCACAAGAAAAAGAAGAAAGTACTTAAAAAGAAGGGAAAGAAAGGTAAATGTTGTGACGTTAATGACTGATCATTAAGATAAAATAAACTCATTGCTTGCATGAGAAGCGCACATTAGTAAGCGCACTGCTCTGAACCTGACAACCTGAGTTGAATTCCATGCCATGGCTATTATCTGTTGAGTGATGTCTTTACTTGTCCTTGGCAATTGACCCTCGCCAACCTTCATTTAAAAAGATGGTCAAACAACCCACATAACCAGTACGGTGTGGGGAGGGGGCTTCATCCAGAAGTAGAATGACGAGTTGTATATTAGAACTGTAACCCCATTGCACGGTATTTTTCATAATATTTCAAACCTAATCCGTGAAAATGTGTTTTAATTACGTGGTTGTTTTGCAGGTTTCCGGCGGAGGCACTGAAGGGGAAGTTATTTGGAAATTTTCATTTTCACATCCAGAAATCTCCGACCACACGTTTTTTTGTACAAAAAATGTGCTGTTAAAACTTAAATAAAGGTTTTGAGACTCCAGTTAGGGGCCATCCATTTAGTACGTACGCAAAAATCTGTCAACGTGACCCCCTCCCCCCTTCCCTGTACGCATGCGTACTTTTGACACCCCCTCCCCCCACCTGCGTACATACGCTTGACGCACATAGAACGGCCGATATTTAATCCACGCAGAAACGATCAATGATTAATAATATTAAGGTGTTGAAGCAAACAGAGTCCACCACCAGCTGCATTATTATTATCAAGGCTTCACCCCCCAGTTTTGATTTGTAATGCAACGTTTTTTAGGTGATGGCTACCCATTGTTAGATGCCATTTTAAAAAGTAGTTTTCCTTCAACCTAACATTAAATTAAATAATTGATGTGCTTATGTTTGTCAAGACACTAACGAAAGTAACAATTTTTCGTTTGTCTGGAATTGTGTTTTATGTACAAGAAAAAGTTTGAGAATAAACCAATATGAAAATAACTATCCTTGAGAGCCATGGTTTTTTGGATAATACAATAAACCCTATATTTGCGAGGTGTTACATTCTTTAAAACGATGACTGCAATAAATAATACATAAATAACAATGAGGTGTTTTTTCTTACCTTTAACAATAATTATTAAGTAGATCAATTAAAAATGTGTATTTTTATATTACCTTTGATTTGACGACTAAGGTTGGTGTTGATGGGGGGAGATGCAATGAGAGGAAAATGGTCCCTGCTAACATGACGCTTGCGAGCCATGACTAAAGGGAATTAACAAGCGTACTCATAAAGTAAAAATGCACAATAGTCGAGTTCAGAGGAGCTGCAAGATAGTAACCTATTCGTGGCACACAGGATTACTGCGAGACTTGAGGACAAAGTGGGCAGCCGAGGTGATGTGCCTAATCTTCGCAGACAGTTTCAAATTGAATATGCTGCGCTCACCTCCCGGTGTTGGTGGTCTGGCACACGAGAATACGGGCAGTCCTCTAGTTACTAAATTAATTCGTTCCTGAGATCCGTTCATAAGTCGGAACAATGCACTATTTAAATGTACATAAGGTAAGCGTTATGAAATGTTACGGTTCAACAAAAAGGGAAGCATTGTTCAATTCAAGAAGAAATATTGTACATTTGCATGTAACACTGTAAACAAGACTAGTAAATAAAATATAGTAACAAAAAACGTTTATTGCTGGTACGAACCTGGTTACACCAGCCCACGGGATTATTGTGTCCGTCGTGCAGGGAGGGGCTGGGTGGGGTGGGGCTAGGTTGGGAGGGGCTGGTCACCCCGTGGTGCCCTTATAAAACTCAACGTTTAACCAACTCACGCCGGCTTGTGCCCGCCCTCACAGTCGGGCATATTTGCGGAATACACCACGCCGCCGTTGACCCTGGCCATTGACCGAGCAACCCAAAGTTCCTACCAGCTCCCTCCGCAGGAATGTGTTTTCACTTACATTGAGTCATGCTAGCTTGTCGGAAGGGGGGCAATGAGTCAACACAATTGCAGACACCCCAACTACAACGATCCCCCGTGTATCCTTAACAGGCTGTCGGGGCAAGTGCTGGTAGTGAGCAGCGCCTATGAAGGCCGTCACGGCACACGAGGCGGTGAGTGGCCAGTGCCACACTTGGCTGCCTTTGCCTCCCCAATAGCGATGTTTACGAACTGCACCACGTATTCATTTGAGGCTAAGTCGACCTAGGGGACGCCCAGGTCGCATTCAGATAATCGTCACTGGTGTTGATCGTGAGTGGGAATTGCACTTTGATCGCCAGTTTGGTAGCACAGCGCGCTCATCGTTGTACCACCGCTGCTCCCACACGTGCACACACAAAGACAAAAAAAACCCATATAGCCTTAAACTGTCAGGGCAAGAGCTGTTAGCAAACAGCGCACATGAAGGCCGGAATGGCACACGAGGGGGTGGGTGGCCAGTGCCACGCCCGGTTGCCTTTGTCTCCCTGGTGGTGATGTTTACACACCACACCAGATACAGTCCTGGTGTTGTGAGCAAGAATCGAACTCGCGTTGCTTCTTTCGTACAGCTGCGCGCTAACCGCTACACTACCGCTCCCCACGTCCGCGCGCGCACACCAACACCAATAACCCACCAATAACTCGCCACGAAGTGACTGTGACATCACCACGGTGCCTGTCCCAGGTCAGGTGCCCTTTGAGGCCACATGAAGTGTCGAAGGCTTGCTGACAAGAGGACACTGGACAGATCCAGCGAGTGCCATGGATTGGCTCACCGAGATGACTGGCAGATGCACCAGCTGTGCCAACTTGCTGTGTTTTAGTCGCCCGGCGCTCTGCTCATTGTTGCCCTTCGTTGTTGCTGGAGGGCGACTGCTTCCAACTGCCCAGTAGCATCCTTCACGATCCTCGTCCATAGAGGCCAATCTTGACACCGCCGGTACCAGTCGTCGGCAAGTCCACTCAGCTGTACATCCTCCCGTACCGCATCAGTCCATGTCTTCTCCAGCCCATGTCGTGGCCATTTTTCCCCTCTATGCGGCCCAACAGAAGCTGCTTGGGCATGCGGTGGCTGGGCATGCGGGCTACATGACCCAGCCAACGCAGGCTTGCCTGCTGGAGCTCACTGATGGGAATGTGTCCAGATATTTCAAGGATTTGTGAGCTCCGTACACAATCCAGCCCGGTTAAACCCAGGATGGATTGGAGGCATGCCACCCTGAATGTTTCTAACCGGCGCAAATGTTCCATTAGAGGGGTCCACGTTTCACAAGCATAGAGAAAGGAAGGAATGATTGTGGCCGAAAAGACCCGAAGTTTCGTGTGGAGCGACAGGCCAGGTAGCTTCCACACAACATTGCGCAGCCGATGAAAAGATAATGCCACCCGACAGATTCGGAGCAATACCTCTGCTGTCAAACCAGAGCTGGTCATAAGCACACTGCCCAGGTATGGGAAACTCTCAACTCTCTCCACAACTGCTCCATCACCAATGGGGAGTTGAGGGGGTGGAGTGTTTCGTGGCACAGAATACAGAGGCAGGTGCTTAGTTTTGGTGGGGCTGATGGTAAGACCCCACCTCTTATTGGCACACTCCAGGTTCACCAGCTGCGCCTTCAACTCCTCCTCTGAGTGAGCAGCAATCACCAGATCATCGGCATATATACATGGTTGACTAATTGGGAGCGATCCCTCGACTGCACCCGGGCATCAATCAACCTCTCGTTGTATTTGTACCAAATGGAAATTCCTCTGTTACAGCCATGGAAAGCTTCTCGAACTACGTGGTCAAACATACTCTTTGGTTCTTTCGGTAAAGTCACGTAGGTAGAAATAAAATCAAACAAATCACGACGTTCTGATAGCAACACAAGCGATCCTCATCAGGTGGGACAACCACAGCAAGAAAATGCTGAAGTCGGCGGGAGAGCTGCCGTGGCAAGAGGTAATATAGGTGTAATAAAGGACTCTCAGGCGATGTTGTTCTCCGTGTCCTTTATTGGGTTCTTGCTCGCACCCCGCGATGCCTCCGCTCCGACCCGCACCTTCTCTGCCTCGTGCCTCCGCACGTCGTCTGAGTCCTCCTCTCCCGCTCTCTCTCTGCAGCCACACCGCTGCTCGTGTGCTCCGCACACTCCGCAGCCCCCTTGCTGCTCCGTGTGACTCCGCACACCCAGCAGCCACCCTGCTGTTCCGTGTGCTCCCGCACACTCTGCAGACACCCCCGCTGCTCCACGAACACCGCTGGCTGACGGTGCCGTGACTCCTGCCTCGTGGCAATCGCGCCACTCCTCGTCAGCACTCCGCGTGGCCTCTCCCTTCTCTATCCTGTCTCCACTCCCGATCCCCTTCCGGTTCTCCCCTTATATCCTCCCCCTCACGTGACCCTGACTCCTCCTCCTCCGCACGTGACCCTGACTCCGCCCACACTCACGTGACCCTGTGCTTGCTCGCATTACATAGGTAAGAATGGGGGGAGGAGGCAAGGGGGGTGAGAGAGAGGGGTGTGTGTGGGGTAGGGGGAGGGGGCCGCGTGAGCGCTCGGGGAAGAGGATGTGAGGCTGGGGGGGGGGGACATGGGCGGGGCTAGCAGTGGGAAGCTGGAGAAGAACAGATACAAATGTGCCAGTAAACCGGCAGGTAATGATTGAAACAACAAGTTAAGGCATGACCTGGTTGATAACATCCTTCCAATGAGTGTTCAATATGTATTCATATTCTCAGTTGAAGTTTTGTCTATGTTTATATATCATTTATATATCATGCGAGCCCAAAGCGTTATAACAGCTACGGCAGAGGTATTGGTTCTGCCACGTTTCAGATCTGCCTTGTAACAACTCGCGAACACGGTCTGAGACATGTCGTTTTGTTTCCCCAATGTAACTGCTACCGCAGGTACAACTCAGTTTGTAAACTCCAGGATATTGCATGTCAGGAATGACATCCTTCACAGATGGGATTAGATCACGGATTTTGTGTACTGTATTGAATCGGACCTGGATCTTGTGTTTGTTTAAGATTTTTGAAATATTTTTGGTAACACCTGCTATGTATGGTAACATGATGGTTTTGATCGGCTTCTCAGGGGGTTGTTTCGCCATGGTTGGAGAAACAGCTTTGCGATTAATGCGGTCCGAGTTCCCATTCATCTTGAGGGCCTGGTGTACGTGTTCCAGTTCACTGGCTAGGTGGTGTTGGTCGGAAATACAGTGGGCCCTATGGTGTAGTGTTTTGATGAGGGAATTCTTCCGGGCTGGATGGTGGTGGGAATCAGGTTTAAGATAGGAATCAGTGTGGGTGGCTTTCCTGTGGACAGTGTCCCATCGAGCCGTCAGGCCTCTTCTCAAACAAAAAATCCAGGAATAGTAGCTTACCATCCTTCTCCACTTCCATGGTGAATTTGAAAGTGTCATCTACGTATCTCTTCCACAAGGAAGGACGTAGGGTGGAGGTCTGGATGGCATCTGTTTAAAACTTCTCCGTGAAAACATTCGCTATCGCTGGTGATAAAGGGGAACCCATGGGGTACCTTCATTTTGTTTGTATAAAGTACCATTCCAGGTGAAGTAAGCATTGGTAAGGCAGTGCCTAACCAAAGTTGGTACATCAGGATTCAGTCCATGTTGGACCAAGTCTTCAATTATTGCTAAGGTGTCAGGTACAGGAACCTTGGTGACACGCAAATCATCTGGAGACAGTGAGATGTCCTTGATTAGAGAGACCAAGTCAGCTGAGTTACGTACTGCTGAGGTCGTCTTGCCCGTGAATGGAAACAAGGTCTCAGACGTGGTCAAAGATGATGTTAAATAATGTGGGAACCAGTGGACACCCCCGTCACATTGGCTCCGACGCCTGGCAGCTTGCCCACCATCATGAAAGCCCTTAATGGTTGTGAGTAGATAGTCAGGGACTCCGAAAGCTCAAAGGATTGCCCACAGCCAAGGCCTCACATAAATGCTCTGCAGACCTGCGCGCACGCACACACAAAGACTCACTTCCCAGCGCGAGG